AACATGAACATCAGAGTGGATGTGAATAAAGAAGAATGTGTCATTTTCCATACAGTGCTTTCATTTACCTCTGATTCTGCTGGGATTTCCACATCTGCTCCAGTTTCAGAGTGCTGCCTTTTAAGGAGTTTTTGGTGAGAACCTCCAAGCGTTTCCTTTTGGTCTGCATGGCCTTGCTGATGTCCGCTAAATGGCAGTTCAGTCATGTTTTTGAGTATTAAACAGTATTTCAACGCAGACTATATGCAGTTGTTGACTTCACTTACCACCGAATCTTTCCAGCATATTTTGAACCTCATTCCTGAGATAAAGGACAGCAAATGATTTTTCGATCCAGAGAAAGGCTTCATAACTTTGGCTAGGTTTATATATCTTGCTGACTTACCCCATACCAGGATGTACTAGTTCATCATCATCAAACGCCTCTGCAGATCTTTTCTTGGTCAGCTTGTCAATGATTGGAGTTTCTAATACATTAGAACAAAATTAAACATGCTTCACAGCTATATAATTTGCTCCCTCTCTCTCATATACATATAAATTATATAGACATTTAATTTCGATTTAATTATATCATTAATTACCATGGTAAAACCTTTTCACTTATTTCTCTCTCTATCTAGGCCTTTCTATCTATCTATCTATCTATCTATCTATCTATCTATCTATATATAAACACACACACACACACACACATAAATATATAATTATATTTAAATTAAATAAACATTTTATATATCTGCTCCCGGTGTGTGTGTGTTCGCTACCATGGTATTACGTCTAATGCCATCACTGTAACACCAATTTCTTTTTTTTTAATAGTATATAATTATAAAATAAACTATTTAGTAATAAAATACACAGACACACCATCTCTCGTATCATCCTCAGATCCGCTTCCTTTCTTTTCCTCAAGATTTTTGAAGTCAAACGTTTTCAGGTCTGTGGAGCTGTCAGTGTGTTTGGTCTTCTTGTTTTGTTTTCTCCCTGAAGCTGCCATAATCTCACTGTATGAAGAGTATTTAGCAGTAGACTGATGATCTATTCAAATACAAACCCGCACATGCTAAGTTAATCAATTAAAAAATATCACTGAGCTTACTATTAGCTCTAACGTGACATCGTTCATAATGAAAGCATTGTATTACAATAATTGAAACGAGATATAATAGGTTATATAAAACTATTTTCATTCACAAAAGCTAAAAAAAAAATACTTTATGTAAGGTTAAGTTACCTCTCTGCAAGAATCTACACAGAATCATCTGTAACGTTAACTTACCTGACGAGTGTGTGATCTCTCTACTCTAATCAATCACTCCAGCCTAGAAAACTATCCAAAATGTAATAACTATCACCGATGTATGATATTATTCGAACTATTTAGAGAAAAATATTTAATTATTTTAATGTTTTGGCGACGGTTTTATCTGCGTCTCTAAAGTGATTTTTCGCGCGGAATGTATTTTGAGCGCGAGAGGATGACTGCGCGCGGCTCACGTGACGTGCTGCCTGACTGAAGATGCACTTCATAATAAATTATTAGACTAGTGAAATCATAGGTCTTTAACGTAAACGTAAGCTATTAGTCATATACAAATTAGGTTAAATACATTTTCTTACCAAGAAACTGAGTAAAAAAAGTAGTTTTATTTTACAGTTCACATTTTAATACAAAAAGAAATGTCTTGTAAAAAAAAGGGAAACCAATACAAATTTATCACATTCAAAGTCAAAAAGCCTGTTGACTTGAGTAATATAGAGTGTAATGTACAGTTGCCAATGTACAGCTTAGTTTTCATACAAAAACATATGTGCAGTGTTCAATATTTCTGCACCAAAAGACAAATAATTAATATGCAGGTCAAATATCAAACTTCTCTTCACATACATAATGTCCATTTTCCTCATAATCGTCTCGTGTTACCACCATCTCTTCAAAGTCAGGATTTTCGGCCAATAACTTCCCCCCTTCCCATGGGTAGCAAATAGGGCTGTAAACAAAAGAATATATTCAGTAAAGAATAACCAGACAAAATGTCAATCATTTTTTCAGAACTCTCAAAACATACTTCTGTGGCAGAACGACAGAAACTTCATATTCTACGGGAGCGAGTGCACGGACTTCTTTGTAAACCCGATCTCTGAATCCAGGGAACAATGTGTTGCCTCCAGTGAGAACAATGTTCTTATAGAAGTGGGATTGCATCTCTGGACATAAAAAGTAAGCGTATATTAGAGTACTTTAAATGAAATAACATTTTAAATACATCTAATGCCAGATGAAATATACCTTCCGGCATGTTGTTAATGGAGTTGACCAAAGCCTCAGGTATGCCCATCTCCTGAATGCCGATGTCGGAGGGGTGAAAGAGCATCTCTGGGACTGCAAACCTCTCATTGGTGAGCCGCAAAATCTGCTCCCCTGTCTTATATTTTCCAGTAAAATTCATCTCCTCTCGAGGCTGCAGCACAAAGAAAAAAAAAATGCTGTATTAGTAAAAGACAAAGTGTACTGTGTTTTATTTTTTCATAGTATGCCAAATGGTTTACCTTGCAAAATCCCTTTTTGATAGAGCTGAAATCTGGCAGCACATAGTCTTTCATGACCATATTATCTTCTCCTTTAAATCTGTCAAATCACCAAAAATATTTATATTATATATACACTACTGTCCAAAAAGTTTGTGGTTGGCAAGATTTTTTTAAAGGGACAGTTCATCCAAAAATGTAAATTATGCCATTAATTACTCACCCTCATGTCGTTCCAAACCTGTAAGACCTTTGTTCATCTTCGGAACACAAATGAAGATCTTTTTGATGAAATCTGAGAGATTTCTGTCCCTCCATTGACCGCTGCGCAACTACCACTTTAACGCTTCAAAAATTTTCTAAAGAGATTAAAACTAATCCATATGAATTGAGGGGTTTAGTCCAAATTTTCTAAAGAGACTCGATTGCTTTATGTGATGAACAGATTGAATTTAGGCTTTTATTCCCATTTGAACATTGATCAGCGAACATAAACAGAAGCTCAACCGAACCTGCTTGACACATGAGGACAAACCTCTTGTGGAAGCTCAAACGTGCTGTGTAACACGAGAATGAACCTCATTGGTTCTCACACGTCAAGTAAACATGCTTGTGCTTCCGTTTACCACAACTAATGTGTGAGTTGATGAATGTTTATATGTGAATAATAGCCTAAATTCAATCTGTTCATCATACATAGCGATGATTATCAATGGAGGGACAGAAAGCTTTCAGATTTCATCAAAAATATTTTAATCTTTGTTCCGAAGATGAACGAAAGTCTTACGGGTTTGGAACGACATGAGGGTGAGTAAAGGTCTATTATGCTCACCAAGGCTATATTTATTTGATAAAAAATACAGTAAAAACAGTAATATTGTGAAATATTATTACAATTTAAACTGTCTCCTATTTAAATGTATTGTAAAATGTAATGTATTCCTGTGATCAAAGCTGAATCAATTTGCTTATGCAATAAATTGCTAATTTGTTACGATCAAGTTGATGCAAACTTACTGTGCAATCTCCATGTCCTTGTAGAAATCTTGAGACACATAACACACATCCTCCTTGACCTGATTGATCACATGGGTCTCATCCATCACATGCAGCTGCCTTTAAGACAAAAAATTGACACAAGCTCAAGGAGAAATCTGCTGTAAGAAAAACCAAAGAATTTCTTTACTCAAATGGTGGCAAGTGTACCTGTATGAAATGGTCTCCTTCAAATGGTTGGTGAGCAGCTTTCCTCCTACATTTATTCTAGGAATGACACAGAGACTTATGAAATGTTCAGCATTTATATGACTTATATGGCTAATGAGCAGCTCACCTGCAGATGCCCTCTTTCATTTTTCTTCCCCTGCAATAAGGAATGATGTGTGTGAAGGAGAATCCACTGTCCACCACAATACAACACAACTCAGAGTTTTTCTCATGGAAGTATCGATGAGCACTCAATGATCCAGCTTTAAAGAAAAAAGATTTTCAGATTTATGGATTCCGCATACATAATCTAAGTAGGCTGCATCCTAGTACACTAAACGTACCATTAATTCTGAGAGCTGACTGAAACTGATATTCTTCGAATAAAATCTCATTCATGGATTCTTGAATTGAGGTGAAGTTGAAGTACGGTTCAGTTATCACAATGTTGGTATCAGCAAAGTCCACCTGCAAATATGTTGTGTACATGCTCAATATCTCATAGTGTACATTTATGAAACAGAAAAATTTGATATGTTTGTAATCATTCAAGTACCTTAAACATCTCCTTTCCAAACAGATGATCCCAGACTTTGCGCTGCACATCCCAATTCACAAGATAACCCTAATATTGATGCAGACGAGATGAAGTAAGACACAATGTGCTTTATTTATCAATGTGCAGGGAAGTGTATAATTCATATTGAGGCAATACCTTTTGAAAAGGGAGGATGTAGAAGAGTCCGGACGGATCTTTGATTTCATCCAGCTGATTGGCAGTGAAAGTTTTCAACCTAGAGGTCTTCGAACGGAATTGGCTATTTGGGATAACACTAAAAAAAAAGATTCGGTATTTAGCTCAACATAACTACCAAAAACTATAATACGTTTTACATATCAAGGAAATGCATAATAAAAACACTGTACCTGACTTTCTCATGACTGTAACCGATTTTGGCAAAGTACGCACCATTATCCAGTACGAGCGTTGACATTTTCACATCTCAGTTATTCAAACGTACTGGTTTAAATCACAAGATGAGGGAGGCGAATGCATTAAGGTACAAATATGAATCAAACTTCATTTAATTGAGTGATCTAAATAAACATTGAATCTGCTAAATGATCATGCCGCTCTATCTATGGGCGTCTTATTCTATATTTCAGATGCTAGAGTTCTAAAACCACTGAATGCTTACTGCCCCCTGCTGTATGGGAGTTTGTTTGGGTGCTAGCGCATCATAAATAAAACTTTGACAACATTGTAAATTTAACATTTATTTGTACCTTTTCAACTTTCATCTATAAAATACTGCAGATCACCATAATTACATACAATTATGCAAGACAGACGATACAAATAAAAAGAAGGTCACAATCGAAGACTAATAAAGCACAGCAGCATCCAAGCTCCCTCGTAGATTCATTTCATTAGTTGTTTGAAGTTAATATTTTTTCTTGGCACGGTTCACAGTACAATTTGCAGGTCCTCTAAAAAGACAGGTCGATCAGTGGAGCCGCGTTCTCAGCATTTTCTTTCTTGTCCTCTGGACTCCACTTTATAAGAGGTGAACTCAGGTCAATTAACTGTGGGATAAATTATACATAAATGAATGCAAGCAATAACTGAACACTACACACTGTACACTACAATTCAAAAGCTTGGAGTCAGTAAGTCTTTATAATATTTTTATAAATTAATATACATTTTTAATGTTAGATTTCAAATAAGTGCAGCTATTTAGAACTTGACTTTAGAATTTAGAACTAGAATCCTGAAAAAATGTATCATGGTTTCCACAAAATTATTGTTGTTTTCAACATTGATAATAAGAAATGTTTCATTAGCATCAAATTAGCATATTAGAATGATTTCTGAAGGATCATGTAGACTGGAGTAATGATTTTACAGTAAAATATTAAATATAAAAAAATGTTTAATGAATATTCTTTTTAAAATCTTACCGACCCCAAACTTTTGAAAGAAAGTGTGTGTATATCAAATGTCCTCTCACCTGTCCTCCCCAGGGCTTTGCAGAGGAGGTTTTGATCAGGTCTGGGGTGTTGGAGAGATCAATTAGCAGCTTCTCTGACAGCTGAGGTGCTGGTGCAGGTGCGTCCACAAGCAAAACCTACAATTGCAACATTTTCAGATCGGTTGTTTTACTAACACATTTTATAAAAAAAAAATCCATTTAAACTGATTTTATTTTACCTCTTTAACATCCTTTTTCTCTTCGTTCTTGAGTAGGTTGTGTTTTTGGGTGTCCACTGTGTTCGGAAGTGTTGGGGGTTTCATGTCGACCTGAGGAGGCTCTGGATCACATGACAGAGGCTCAGAGGGATTCTCCACAGCTGCTGGCTCACAGGCAGGAGATCCTTCAGGGTCATCCTCCAAATTAAAGACCAGGGAGCAGGGCTGGAGGTCAGCTGGAGGGCAGGTCTCCTCATTTGACACTGAGGTTTCCTTATCTTCCTGATTCTCAGTTTCCTTCATGTGTTCTGGGCTGCATAGATAGACAGTTTGACTTAGATTTCTACTTATACAGAGATTGAGATAAGCTATAGATTAACTGAGATCAACTGAAGTATTTCAGAAGCCCATAAAGTAGCACCTTGGATGAGTGGCCACTTGGCTGGAGGTCGATGAGCGCTCTGTGAGCTGGGAAGGTTTACTCAGGCGTGACACGCTCTTGGGTGTGAGAGCAGGGATGCCAGAGATACGACGGTTGACTGGGGTGGGAAGAGCCGAGGGTCTCCGCAGTTTACAGCCCATAGCCGAGGGCGTCAGGAGACCCACTAGATTATCAGGAATACTACCAAGACATGTATCAGAGTTAAGAGAATCCTTTAAAAGAAATGGAATGATGTTCTGAGAAAATATTACTATATTACCTATCCACACTGTATGCAGATAATAATTTCTTTGGCTTGATGATACGAGGAACGTCAGGTGAGGAGGAAACTATAAAATCAATAGAAGTTAGCATGACTGAATGCAATAATGTCCTGGTTAAATCCCACAAAAACATGTTCAGGGCACATTTCACCTCAAAATCAAAATGAAAAGAATTAGGAAATTATATTCAACATAAAAATAACTCTCTCTGTAGGATCATTAAGATTATTTTCATATTTTTGTTGCAAATTCTCATTGTAATAGTCATCTAAATACTTTAAATACAATATTTTAGTAAGGTAATACGTATTAAATTAAATATAGAAATTCTAAACAAAAATATTTATATGCGTGTGTAAAAATAATATTTTATTATGAATAAATTTAAAAAGTCACTGTAAACATATATTGGGTATTTGTACAGCATTTTATTCTTTAATTTTTCTTTTAAATGATTTCTCCCTTAATAATAATTTTTATTATATAAAGAGCATTTGTGAAGAAAATGTCTTCAATGGTGAAGAAAACAATTTCTCAAAGCAAAAAATCTTGATGGCCCAAAAAAAGGCTTCATTTTTCATATGCTAAATATATATCATTTTTTCTTTTGATTTTAGTGTGAAGTGCTCTTGAAACAGGTTGAGTGAGATTCATCCTAACAGCTCCTATACATTAACATGATTATGTTTTCCCTCACCCTCGGATTTGTGAACTCCCTTCAGGTAGTTAGTGGGTGTTGGCACCACTGTGACCTTGAGTTTAGGGTTTTCCCTTAGAGCACTTCCCATCTTAGCATTAGATGCAGGGATGCTGGAAGTAGTGGTCTTTTCAGCAGTAGTCTTTGCTGGGGTATGAAACTGTGGAGGCGGAAATGGGACCGTTTTCTTAATGGGCGTAGCTTTGACAGGCCTGGGGAGAAGTTCAGATGCTCTCCTCCCCTGTGTAGAGATGGAGGTCCGTCTGCTGACGGGTGGCTCTGGGTTTCTGGTAACAACAGAGGATTTGCGGCTAGAACTGGGCAACCTGCTCATGCTGCTGTGTGAACGAGCACCGATGCTGTTAGTGCTGGAGTTTAAGGATGAATTGAGTTTGGCTGGTGAAAGGAGGAGTTGATACATGTAAACAACCAGCAGATGGCAGTAGATACATAAGTTGCATCACTTGCACTTTAAAACCCCTTAACTGTCACCGTCCCACAGGTGGGACGTTTGCCATTATATTTTTAAAACAATAATATCTTAGTTAAAACCTTAAGTAATATTGACAAACTATATATCATTTGAAAGCTTACAATCCCTAGTTTCCATATTTGGTGATTGATTTTCAAAAAAAATTACAGAGGAGCCGTAATTTATCAATTTGCAACAATAATATTTTCATACTCCTAAGGCGTGTTCAGACCTTTATTTTGAAATAGCAATGAACATGAAAAATCATGAAAAAAATTGTAGAAACCTAGTTTGTTTTCATGCCAAGAGTTCAAAAGATAGCATCCATTAAATTATTTTAGAAAAAAAGGTCTGAAAATGTTTTAAATATAAAGGAAAAAAATAATAAATTCACCATTTGTGATGTGGCAGCGAGCTATGACGCACATGCGTGTTCTTTGTATGTGTTTATTAGAGGTTGAATTCATATCAAAATCTGCCAAACTTTCCCATACTACTTCTGAATAGGATCTCTACTTCATAAATTGTATGAAAATTATGGAAATAATGGTTCATATCACTCAAAACACATTTGGAAATGGAAGCGCCCTTATATGGGCAGTAATGGAGTCTGGTTGTCATCTAGTGAAAAAGTTTGGTACTGCGCCCAAACAAAATCTTACTGAAAGCTCATTTTTTGAGATATCAACCTAAAATTTGAAACACAACTTGTTCAGATTTTTGTCTTTGATTTTTCTGCAGTTTTAGAGTAGCCCAGGTTTTGAAAATATATATTTTATATAAAATATGAATAAATAATTTTTTTACATTGTACATTTCCATAAACTCAAACTTCTATAACTTTTTTTCTGTTTCACTTTCTTAATTTATTTCACTTCTACATAAATCTGCCAAATGTCTTCTTTAAAACAAGACCAATCTTACGTCTATATTCCAAAGCATTCTTGAATTACAACCATTTATGTTCGAAATGTGCATTTTCATGTCAATTCAAAAAAAGGGGGGTGACAGTTAACAGGTTAAAGTCTAAATGAAATCAAATTCAACCACATTTTCTTTTCAAAACTACATCTTCATAGGCTTGTAAACAATTAAATCATAAGAAAATGAACAAAAAAATAATTTTGATAATTTAGGCATCTCAGCATTATAATGTAAAGCATGAAAAAATGACACTCATTTTAAAATTTGCTAAAGATAATTTTAAGCTATTGAATTATTAAAAACTATAAGTAAGCATTAGATGATGGCAAAGGTCACCTTTGCTTCCTGGAGAGATGGTTAGACTAGAGTTGATGCTGGACACCGAAGATGACGAGGACGAGGTGTTTCTCCTCCTGTCCACAACTCTAGAGCTCTGAAGTGAAGGAGCTTTAAGAGCAGATGGAGCTCGCATTTCTGTCTGAAGCATATTGAAAAATGTTTAAATACATAAATACATTTTATTCTGCATTGTCGAACAATTACCTAAAATTGTGCTTCCTCCAATATTAGTGGTAAATTACAAACCAAGCCTATTGTACATTTAAAAACAATGTACACTGCTGTTTAAAAGTCTGGTGTCAGAAAAGATTTGCTTAAAGATATTAATACATTTATTCAGAAAGGATGCATTAAATTGATCAAAAGTGACAGTAAAGACATTTATAATGTTACAAAAGATTTCTATTTCAAATAAATACTGTTCTTTTAATATAACTATTCATCAAAGAGTCCTGAAAAAAGTCTATCACTGTACCCACATAAATATTAAAGGGGTCATATGATGCTTTTTAATGGTTTCCTTTTCCTTTAGAGTGTAATTTATCTGTTTGTGCATGTATACGATCTGCAAAGTTACAAATGGTGCTTTTCCGCTGCATGGTACGGCTCGATACGTCTCACTTTTGGGGGGTTTTCCACTGTGAACAGATTATGGTGAGGGGCTTTACATTTCTGACACATGCTTGAGGTGTTCGGCCAATCACAGAGTACTGGGTCAGCTGGCCAATCAGAGCACTGAGCTTTTCGGAAGGAGAGGCTTTGTAGAAATCATCTTTGTATTTTTGATCAAATAAATGCAGCCTTGTTGAGCATAACAGACCTCTATCAAAAATATAAAGTGGTTTCTAAACAGTGATGTATGACTATTATCAACAATTCTTGAAGAATAAAACAGTATACAACAACAACAGGTCCTTTTACCTTGTTCCGGGTTGGAATGCTGCTTCTTCCTGGCAAACTAGTGTTAAATGAGGAATCGCTGACATCAGAAGCAACACTGGTGGTATCAGAGAGAAGGTCTTCAGAAGAACCAGCTATACTTGAATTTCTACTGCTAGGACTGAGCTTCAGCCCAAAATTACCCTGAAAGACATTGATAAACTCAAAATAAATCTCATATGTCAAACTGTAATGGTGTATAAATAAATGGAGAGAAGTATTCATACTTTGCTGGGAGGAGGAAGCCTAGTTTTAGTGGCTGCTGGGAGTTTTGTGCTGGTGGAAAGTCGTGAGTTCCTTTGGGCTGTGGGTTTGCTGGGTAACACCCCACAACTAGCCACAAGGACTTTGCCTCTAGAAGCCATCTTAGGCTGCGTCACAGCAGTCCTGACTGGACTCGACGTACTGAGACGTGGCTTGCCAAACCTGGCCATCCCTTTAGACTTCAGCATTTGCTTCTGAATGGCGGGTGGAAGCTGCTTCATCGGGCTGTCCTGCACAAGAAAGGTCTCTCTTTTGATGGGACTCAGCACACCAGCTGGCTTGATGAACATGCTCAGTTTGGTTGTTGTGTCCTCCTCGAACGCCTCGGCCTCCTCAGGTTGGCACGAGGACACTACGCTGCTCTCGGCTACAGAGTCAGTGATGATTTGCTCGAGGTGGCTGGCGACTAGATGAGCTTCTTTGCAGATTTCATCAAACTTCTCTCCTGTGAGAGGGCTCCAGCTGGGCTGTTCTCCCAGAGACGGACCACTGCTCACACTGTCCTTCATGTGAATCTCCACTCCATGAGAAATGCATTTCTCTTTATGACCAACCGGACCCACGAAGACCTCATCCTCAACATCGTAATCTCCTTTAGAGCTATAAGAGAACATTTCCATAGGACATATATCATCATAAAATGTTAAAACCACATTATAATTCATGTATAGCACACATTAAAGGAGTAGTTCACTTTTGAAAAAACTTTTGCTGATAATTTACTCACCCCCATGTCATCCAAGATGCCTATGTCTTTTTTTCCTCAGTCGAAAAGAAATTACGGTTTTTGATGAAAACATTCCAGGATTTTTCTCCATATAATGGACTTAAATGGGAACCATACGGTCCAAGGTCCAAAATACAGTTAATAACAGTTTCAGATGCAGCTTAAAATGTCTTTAAACGACACCAGACGATGAATAAGGGTCTTATCATGCGAAACGATCGCTCATTTAAAAAATAAATAACAACGTTTAAGTTTTATAAGCTCACATGCTCGCCTTTCTCTGTTCTGTGTAACTCTCCTGTTCGAACTCGTTCATCAAAATGAACAAATCTTTTTCCGAGTCAATTCGTTCATTTCGGTCGTTAAATGAATCAAATGACTCGAAAAAAGATTTGTTCATTTAGATGAACGAGTTCGAACAGGAGAGTCACACAGAACAGAGAAAGGCGGGCATGTGAGCTTATAAAACTTAAACGTTGTTATTTATTTTTTAAATGAGCGATCGTTTCGCATGATAAGACCCTTATTCATCGTCTGGTGTCGTTTAAAGACATTTTAAGCTGCATCTGACACTGTTATTAACTGTATTTTGGACATTGGACCGTATGGTTCCCATTTAAGTCCATTATATGGAGAAAAATCCTGGAATGTTTTCATCAAAAACCTTAATTTCTTGTCGACTGAAGAAAGAAAGACATGGACATCTTGGATGACATGGGGGTGAGTAAATTATCAGCAAAAGTTTTTTTTAAAGTGAACTAATCCTTTAACATTGTAATGGCTATGGGAGTTAAAATTATTTTTTAGTATTAATACTGTAATAGTATATTAATTTAGTTGAAATAGCTTTTATTTTTTGTATTTTCAGTTTTCTTTTTTAATGTAAGGTCAAGTTTGAGTAATTTTATTATGTGCTTAAGTCATTTTTATTAGATTTGTTTTCTATTTATTTATTTTTTATTTCAGTTTTTATTCTAACTTTCATTTTTTAAGTTTAAGTTTGTTCTCTAGTATTTATATTTTATATCACAATTAACAAATTAGTTTTAATAGTTTTAGATAACAATAACAACACTGCCTTAAATTAAACATTGAAAACAAACCTTGCAGGTGACAGTGAAACATCAAAGTCAAATTTCTCCTCAGCCAGTGAAACAAAATCTAGAAGTAAAACACACACACAAAAACAGTTTTTAAAATTATGTTAAAAAAATGTTTAAACAAGCCAAATCAGTGTTTATTTTCTTTATCTTGTTATACTACACTTACAAAAAAAGTACAAATACTATGGTGTTTTTGGCATGTACCATTTTAATGTTGTTGTTTTATTCTGTCAAGTACTATAGTACCACTACAGTACTTTTTTGTAAGGTTAGTTTAGAAAGTGATCAGATAAAACGTCATTACCACTGTGAGTGAGTGATGCCATCTTCAGCCAGGAAGGAAAACAAATGGAGGCCAAAATCCTGTTAACATCAGTTTACAGTTAATGTGGTTCCAATTTTTGATTACAACACGTTCGAAAAAACAAAAAGTACATTTTAACCCAAATGCAGTTTAAAATACTCGAAATAAAACAAACGGTACTCAATAAAACGAGCACTTTATCGTATAACTAACGCTACATAAACATAATAGAAGTCGTGGAAGCTCATGGATTCATACGGTTTAATCAACGATGCTATTCTAATTTAATCTTAAAAACAGATTATAAACATGTACTACAGCCAAAGTACTTACTGTTCGTTTGCAGTACTATGGTTATATTTATTAATCTTACTGTTGTTGTCTGTTCACAAAAAATAACTGGCACTTGCGATCAGTTTCCACATTTCAAATTTCGTGGCCACTGGCCAGTCTGATTTCGAAGATCACGTGACAGGAATCCTGCTACAGGATTGGTGGAGCAAGTTTCCGGAACGCAGCAGTCGTCATGTTGACGTTGAGCAATGCCCAGAGCAAAATCTACTGACTACTTAAAGGGATAGTCCACCCAAAAATAAACATTTAAAAATTGCTAAATTGCTATGCTAACAATTCTGTCATCACTTGCTCACCCTCATGTTGTTACAAACCATGTTCCAAACCTGTATACGTTTTCTTTCTTCCGTTGAACACACCTTAAAATTTCTTGTTTTGTGTTCAACAGAACAAAGAAACTCATACAGGTTTAGAACAAAATAAGCGTGAGTAAGCAATGACAGAATTTTTATTTTTGGATGAACCCTTTAATTGAAAATGTGTATGACCATGTTTATGCTATTATTTGTTTTACTTGAATAACTATGCTTAAGAAATTAGTATGTATATTTAAATATAAATAGTTGAAGAAACTACATTTCTAATTTAGTTTAATGCACTTTAATGCTATTTTATAATGTCATAATGTGCATATAAATGTGGAGTGTGTATTCTATAACCAAGATCCAAATTAAAACCAATGATTAGGTTAAGCTAAATATGAATATTTTATTGGCAAAAACCATACACATACTTAAAGACTTTTCAAATGTAAATTAAACCACAATAACCATTTACATTTACAAAATTATATTCCATAAACAGATGGAAAATATTCATTCCCAAAATGGGAATGAAGCTACTGTGAAATAACAAAATTAACCCACAAATTCTCTCCAATTCTTTCCTATTTGCTTGTACTACTCTTATATTGTTTACACTTCTGTAACAAATCCTAAACCACATTCTGCTGAAACCATATTCATGTCCCCACATATTACCATCACAATATTTCATACAACAGCCTCTTGACTGAACCTCATAATTGTGTAATGTGCTTGAGCCCTCGTCTTTGAGGAGGTGGAGTGGATCAAAGCTGATAAAAACACTTCAAACAGAAAATGCACTGTTACATTTTAGCGTGGCCTCCCTGAACTACCACATGTCCTTTCTTCATTTTTATTTGGTCAACTAAAGAAAGAAAGAATTTAATTCCCTTAATAACACCTTGGATGTGTCATTTTTGTGAGTATAGTTACTTTCCATGAAATAAGAGGCTCAAAATCTTTAAAAATAAGGTAGGCAATTTTTTTCATAAACACTTTTTGTTACTCTCTTTACATCCTGATAGCAATCAATAATAGAAGTGGTCTAAATATATATATATATATATATATTTTTCATATATCTTCTGTGGGAGTCTGTGGAAGACCAAAAAATTGGTCTGAATGCAATGATACAATGTCCTACTTGCCTGTCAACATATGTATTTCCATACCTCCATGCCCCTGCTCGCACAGACATCACACGTCATCAGCCTGTTCCGTAAGACTATGCAGAGTTGTAGACAGACAGCGCCACAAACAAACAGCAGCCGCCTTTTACAGTTCCTTCTGAACCAAAACAATGAGCTTATGCTGCGTTCACGCCATCCCGTAACCGTAATTACAAGATGGCAACCCGTGATGTTCTTCCAGTCAGCAGTCAGGTGGTACGCTTTGCAGACTCTGCTCTGGCTCTTTTGAAAAACACTCTGAAGGGAGGGTGGGATGCAATGCTTTCAAAGCTAGCTTGCTATTGCTAGCCTCTCCGAAATGGCCTACCCTACCTTTAACTGTCCTGCAGTACCCCTTAAAAAATGTTGAGGCATTGCATCTTTTCCCATTTAATTTTCATCTTCTAGCTTTCTAAAAATCAAAATCAAAACCTATTTAGAGGCAAATAGTGCACCTTCAAAACAGCAACTACATGTGAATCTTTTTTTCATCCAAAATAAGAAAGTGTCCAAAACCGTCTCAAAATGGTTTAACTATCATTTATCAAAATGTATAAGTAAACAAAATATAAAAGGGAAAGAATTTGAACAATTCAGCAACACTTTCATTCCCAAACCATACACTTTCCAGGTGTGCAGGTAAAATAAAATAAAAAGAACGAAACAACCCCCCTATGAAATTAAAAACAAAATGAAAAAAAAAACAAGTTTTACTACTTTTCCAGTTCACTATCAGAGGCCCAGAAGCCCTGACCTTGTCCTTAATGTGCCCTCGGTTGTTGGCGTGGTCTGACGTAGGTGGTACTGGATTAGAGAGAGGTCTCCAGGCTGTGAAGGGGGCTTCCAGGAGTTGGAGGAAGGACAGTTTTTGCTAGATCTTTGTGGTGATGGTAACCCCTGTTGTCGGTTGCATTATTGTTCTGATTAGGGGAGGATAAAACTAGAGGCAGTGGGGAAGGAACCGTGTTGCGTTTAGTAGGTGCATCCTCCTCAGGGTCGGTGTCATCGATGAGGGGGATGGATGGCTCTGAATCCTCGATACGGAACTCTGGGTGGCTCATGAAGTTGTGAATGGAGCTGCGAGACTCCGGCGTCTCCAGGCCGTCATAAGGGGACATGGTGTCCCGGAAAGCATTAACCACACGGATCTGAAGAAAAAGCACCAAAACCCAATGGAAATCAGAGGTCAGTGAACTCAGATAGCGAAACAACATAACCCTCCACCACCACCAACAACAACAACATCCCCAATTGGGTGTTTCTTTAACCAATGACACTTTCTGCACTGCAGGTTTAAAATATCAATTTGATGTTTGAGGTCAGTACGATTTTTTCATATTTTTGAAAGAAGTCTCTTAGGCTCACCAAGACTGCATTTATTTTTATCAAAAATACAAACAAAAAAACCCTGATTTCTTCTATTTTAAAATGCAATTTATTCCTCTGATGCAAAGCTGAATTTTCAGCATCATTACTCCAGTCTTCAGTGTCACATGATCATTCAGAAATCATTCTAATATGCTGATTTTTGTGTTCAATAATCATTTTTATTATAAGCAATTTTTTTAAGGATTCTTTGATAAATAAAAAATCAATCAATTATTTGTCAACTAACCATATCAAACAGTATACATATATTAGATAAGTATTATTTAAATTAAATTCCACTACAGTGTCATTTATGCCACACCTCAAAATGATGTATTGTTTTTAATATCCTTCTGTGATGGATTACATTTTAAGTCTCAGGTGTCCCCAGAATGTGTCTGTGAAGTTTCAGCTCAAAATAGCCCAGAGATCATTTACCATGTGGTAAATACCCATTTTTAAGTGGAAGCAAAAACGTGCTGTTTTCGTGCATGTATCTTTAAATGCAAATGAGTTGCTGCTCCCCATCCAGAATAGTACTGTGCCTTTCCAGCTCGTGCCTCGAATACTCTGACAAAAACTAACAAAACATCTGTTTGGTTTTGATTATAATCTCAAGCTCACGTGACATTGCAGTTCTTCGTCATCATGAAAGTTCATTATTAGAATGCGTTTTAAAGCCATATCAGTTTAAACTTCTGATAATCTTCTGAGCGCACAGAAAACTGACTGTCACACAGCAAGTCGCGTGAGTATTAAACTAATTCCTCTTTCGCGTCTTATTGCGCTTAAACTAACAAATACACACAAGGTTTGTCTGTGAACCTAAAAAGCAGGGAAATGGAGTGGATGGAATTTTACCACAATAGGGTGGTTGTGTACACATAATTATGTTAAAAAATATATATATAAAAGTGAATTTTGCATAATAGGTTAAACATTTTTGGAATAAAATGGAAAATTGACCTAAGGCTCATTTCATAGCTAGCATTTTATTTATCTTAAATACACAAATATTTTCATATTTTGTACATAATTTGTACACAATTACAGCTTGATTGGCAATGACAAACAATTAAAATATTCTGCTCACAATCTCTCACTGACACCGTTGTGTTTATAACACAGAAACTTAAAAAAAACCTATTAGGGGAACAGCTGTTGAATCTGGTTGAAATTGTGAATTTTGTGTCCTTTTTTTATTTTTGAAAAAATAACTTTCACAATATTTTTTCTTTTAGATTATAGGTCTTTAACTTGTAATCATTTTTATGATAGATTTTATATTTTAAGATTGAGAGTCTAGGACAGGGATAAAAACAAAATCTATGCATAGAAGGCATCTGAAAAGTAGAAGAAAGTATCAGTTTTGTGACCTTTGTGAGTATACAGTATGTGACCTTTATATATGAAAAATATTCTGTTAGCTTTAATAAAAAAATGTAATACTGGGACGTAAAAGTGCCTGAAGTTGAAGAAACATATTGATAAAAATACAAAACAAAGGAGTGAAAACTTTATTCAGTACCTGTGTCTGAATTCTGTTGAGACCCCTACACCACAAAACCTGCCCCCTTCTCATCTCCATCTCAGCATGGTCGATTTCATCCATGTCTTCCATCTCCTCCAGCTCATCCTCAGAGATCTCCTCCTTCTGAGTGCCATGACCTGCTGTCATCAGGAACTTCAGGCGACTTGTGGGAATGGTGGTAACCAACTGTCAGAAGTCATAGGGGTTTTGGTGAGGAAAACAATACATTTCAACCAGTAATCATGTCAAAGTTCAGCAGGAGTTGTTGTATAGTAATTGATTGGTTGTATTGTGCATGTGTGGTTTCTTTAAGAAAAATTCAAACAAACAAACAAAAAAGTCAGCAGGAGTTTAAATGCTTTAAAAGGCCTACCTGCCCCCAAAGAAGAGAGCCAAAACCGATGAAAACACACCACATCCACTGCTCAACAGAGAGACCTACACAGCTAAAAGGCTTCCCTCCAAACTGCACGATTACAATCTAAAAAACACAACCATGTTGGAATTCAGAACAATTGTTGATAATTGACGCAGGCTTTTAGAGATTAAAATGCGACGTACCTGGATAACAAAGGTCCCGAATACGATGGTGCAGAAGATCATGTTTTTGAAGATGCCCTCAAAAACGTTTCTCTCACCGTGAATCTTTCGAGCGTTAATCTCGTTGAAGAGCTGCATCATCACGAAGGTGTTGAAGACGATGGTGTAGTGCTCTGAAGGAGGAGCGTGAAGAGGAGCGTTCCTTCCGCTGTCAATATCGAATATCTGCTCACCTGTGAGAAAGGGAAAGTCAGAGATATATTAGCCGGTTTCCTCCAATTGGATGCGCTAAATATTTCGATATTTATATTTGCTCACCAGCAAACAGCAGTGTGAAGATGATGGTTAGCTGATAAACAGCATGTCCAAGGATGTTCTTCATCATAGTGCGGGAAATAAGGGGCTTGTTGCGGCCGTACGGTTTGCGCAACAGTAAAGCCTCATTGGGAGGCTCCGTCGCTAGAGCTAGTGATGCAAACGTGTCCATGATCAAATTCACCCACAGCATCTGTACAGCTTTGAGTGGGGAGTCCTGTGTACAAAAAGCAAAAAAGTTTAAGGGAAATAATGAAGTGGTACAAGAAATATAGACAGAAGAAAGAAGGAGCAGTACCTGTGTAATACAGGCTCCAGTGAACGCCACGATGACAGCCACCACGTTAACGGTCAGCTGAAACTGGAGGAACTTGGAGATACTGTCATAGACGTTCCTCCCCCACATCACTGCCTTCACAATGCTGCTAAAGTTATCATCTGTCAGGATAATGTCTGATGCTTCTTTGGCCACATCTGTACCAGCAATGCCCTACAAATGACACATCACTGTCAAAATGTATTAATTTACTCAACATTCATTCAATGTTCAACATTCATTCATTTTCCAAGTAAGCTTGTTCATGCTAATTTTGCGATATTGCATTTCAAATGAAAGTGACTTTTGTGCAAGTGACTTCATACACTATTGACAATGGACAAGGATTTTTTTTTTTGCCCAGGGAAATTTTTGTCTAATTGAATGTGACTTGTGACCACTGAATATGGTTTAATGTGCCCACACAGTGATTATCCTGGGGAATTTTCATTTGCGCTTATTTCCCCATAAGTAAACATTTTGCTCTATTGGGACACATCGGATGAAACACTGCTTCATTTGCTCATTATTTTTGCAATATTCAGATTAAATTCGCAACATGGATTGAAACAGTGAGATTGTTTCTTTTTTCATTTGTCGTAACTTCAGTTTTCATTTGAAATTGTTAGGTCAGTTACGGTGATGTGCTAGTCAGTTGTTTAAAACTGAAAAATCATACCATCGCAAATCCAACATCAGCTTTTTTTAGCGCAGGGCCATCATTGGTTCCGTCTCCAGTGACAGCAACTACTTGTCTCTGTTCAACGACGGTGCTATCAATTATACCTTGAAGAAACAGCAAAACATTTCAAATGCAGTCAGACTGTAATACGCACCACAAGTATTAGCAACAGTCCTGTTTTAAAATTGATTACCTTTGACCAATGTATGCTTATCAGTTGGAGAAGATCTTGCAAGTACGCGCAGTTTGGGCCAGACCTTGTCCAAGCGCTCCTGCTCAATCTGAATAGACGATGAGGCCTTTAATGTCAACCTTTTATTTGAATGAAAAATGATCAAGAACTTTTTTTGACCACCTCACCTCTCCCAGCTCATTGCGTATCCGCCTGTTAAACTCTTTGCCTTCAAGGCACAAGAAGTCGTCACCGGTGTGGATAATGCCACACTTGGTTGCGATAGCTCGAGCGGTGTTAATGTTATCTCCTGTGACCATGCGCACAGTGATACCTGCTCTCTGGCACTTCTTAATAGCATCTGGGACCTGTGGAGATTATACCACCCAGGGTTTAGGTGTTAACAAACACATGCTGACTCACAGTAATGAGCACTTCAGCACGTCCTTGCTTTGTTTTCACTATCAAATGCACATTTTCCATGTATGAAAGTGGATGGAATAGGATTAAGGGTCATGTGAGAAATTACCTCCGGTCGAACAGGATCCTCAATGCCCACCACACAAATGCAGGTGAGACCAGTCAGGATATCGGCCTCATCATCCCAATCAGGCTCTCCATCTGAAACAGGGAAGTCCCTGTAGGCGAGGCAGATGGTCCTCAAGCCCTCAGAGGCCATGGGCTCAATCACCTTTTTCACCATGTCATCCCGATCAGTGGGCTTGAAGACTCTGGCATCGCCATTGGTTGACAGGACTTTACAGCACCTGGGGAAATATTAAAGATTATAACTTGTAAGTTAATGATACAAGTACGTAGTCTCGCGTTCAAACCAATTAGTATTACTAAGCTTTCGTTTGTGACATCATCATTTTCATTTCTTTCATTGCAAATGTATTTACAGTCATTTTTGCTCCATTTATTGCATTCTAGGTAAATACAAGTGTTGATTTCTTTCAAAAACATAGAAATATCTAAAACCGCGGTCACATTTAGCAGGCTAAATTAAGTCATTTCAACAGGAATCAGCAATATCTGTAATATTCCAAAAGGGTGAAGCATTTCCCCATGCTGATCCAAGTTTTTTTCCATATTTTCTTCCATATGAATGGTGCTTTGTGCATCTATTGACAACAGACAATGGACCTTTTTTGCCAGTTAATTTCACCAACATTTTGGTAATGTGACTGTGCCTTTAGTTTTTCCAAACTATTAAATGCTCCGTCTCTTCCAGGAAAACTGGATCAAAAATAATGATGACTCACCCTGAACTATACAGATTTTTGTCCACTCAAATGCTGTATTGAGAATGCTTCTCCCCCCTAATAATACCACCTGTAACCATCTAGCAGGTAGCAAATAATCTCAAAATCATTCTCATCTGAAATATTAAATGCGTACTTACTTTTTCAGGAGGATTTCTGACGCTCCTTTGCTGAACATACGGTAACTTCCATCTGAATTTTTAAGGATGGTACTCATGGATTTCCTGACTGAGTTAAATGTGTATACTTTGTACAGTTTTTCCTCCGGATATTCACAGCGAATGGCTTGGTAATCTTTCCGTAAATCAGTGGTAAACCCTAGCAAGGCACATTCAGTTTTGTTCCCAACTTGTCGCGGCAGACCACCCTCTTTCTCAGCAGCCTAGACAGAAAAAATGGATTTATAAAAATCATGAAACCAAGTCTAAACTAACAAAAAAGAGCTTAAATCATATAAATGATGACAAAAAAAAAGTTTGAATGTAGTGTGGTCCAAAAGTCTGAAACCACATTGATTTATCTTTAAATAAATAATATATATATATATATATATAGACATGAATTAGAAATAAAGGATATGACATAAAATGAAGAAATTAATTAAATATAGTATAATATACATAAAATGAAGACATTTTTATATAATATATTATACTATATTATATTTAATCTATTATACTAACTTGTGACACTGATTATTTTACAGAAGCTTGTGGAGTTCACGCAGCTCATGTGTTGGTGCCATTAAATCAAAATGGGGCATAATTAAAGTCACTCAAATTTCTATACTAAGTGATAATATAATTTGTAATAAAACAAATATGCAAATTAGAATAATTTTCTCCTGTGGTCACATTTTTGGGGATTCCACTGTATATTTAAAAGTATTTTGATGATAACTGCTGGTCTTTGAGGACTCTCTCACACAAACACACATTCATGCAAAATATTGTTTCTTACCATTATTTTTGAAGTATACGCACAGTTAACACTGATGCCTGTGACGAGCAGATTCATGATGTTGCCAGGAATCATATCAGGATCTGGGACCTTCCTGTAGTGTCTGTCTCCAATATACACCTGAACCACTGTCATTCTGTTCATGGTAAGGGTGCCCGTTTTATCAGAGCAAATCGCAGTGGCGTTGCCCATCGTCTCGCAAGCATCCAGATGTCTCACTAGGTTGTTGTCCTTCATCATTTTCTACAGATAATGGCATAGATGACTTTACTTCAGTACAAGTACCTTTTGTATGTACAAGTTTGTAATTAAAGTTCTGCAAAACATGAACCACATACTTTTACAGAATAGGCCAATGAGATGGTGACGGCAAGGGGTAAACCCTCAGGCACGGCAACAACCAGCACAGTGACACCGATGATGAAGAACTTGACAAAGAACTGGATGTAGATGGGAGTGCATTCTTTGATCCACGGAAGCCCCTGGATCCAGAAAGTGTCCACCAAAAAGAACACGATAAGAATGAGGACTGTGATGCCTGACATTAAGAGACCTGGAAGAAGAAGAATAAAAAAAAACAGGCACATGCACATCACCTCTATGAGTTGTGAAACAAGGCAACACATATAAATTGGACCAAAAATAATCTTAGTATCTTGCAAATTTGAAGAAATCACAGATTTATGTTTTTTTTTTTTTACCTGCTTTCCCAATTTGTACAGCTAGTTTAGTAAGCTTCCCTTGAAGTACCGATTTCTCTTTCTTTGGTATCTTGGTTTTTTTCTGCTCTTCTTCTGTTCCATCATCACTGTTGAGGGGCTCCATCTCCACTGTGCCTCCATCCTTCTCTGAATGAGGCAGAAACCAAAAAGTGAAGTTTAAAACTATGCAAGTGCATGTAATCGAACTGTTACTGAACTAAAATGATTTGTCATGTAACCTAAAAATGTGATTTTTAAAGTCAAAATGACTTAACCCGAATACATTGCGCTACGTAAATATACTAAATAGCTTCATAATGTAACTGTATGTTAACTTTTTACAGTGTTTATTAACTTTTCTATTTTAATATATTTAGGGCCTGAGCACCGATGGTGTGAGGACCCTATTGGAATTGCTCCGTTTTTTAAATGATGTTTTGTTAACAAAGTTCGGGAGGAGCACGTTCAGATAATTAACACGGGTGGAGAGCACTCAGCAATCAACGATAAGAGGTGTATATATATTCAGCAGTCTCACCTCAATCCATTGACAGTTTAGCAGCATCCCTCCACCACCCCTTCTCCACTCTTCTAGTCCTAACCATTTACATACGGGGCGGGGAGTACTCTGGGTTCGGGCCGAATTACGAGCTCGGAGCCCTCCCCCCGGACAACACGCCAAATACGCATTAAACTTTACTCCCTCTAATTGTATGTAAGTGTGAACTCGTGAAAATGTAATTTATACCTGTAATGGCAAAGCTAAATTTTCAGCATAATTACTCCAGTCTTCAATTTCACATGATCTTTCTGAAATAATTCTAATATGCTGATTTGTTGCTCAAGAAACATTTCTTAGTATTACCAATGTTGAAAACAGTTGTTCTGCTTAATACTTTTGTGTAAACTGTGACACATTGTTTACTGTGGAGACCTACAGTATGTGTCTGCCTGTGTGTGTTTGTATGTGGACAAGAGGAAAAAGTAGAGCTGTAAGGCCAAAGGCGCTAATCTTCTTACTGCTAATCATATCAGTCTTCTTACTGCAAAAGAGCAACTATTGACTGAACAATGTCAGTGACTGCTACTTCCTGTAACTAATTTTCCTGTAGTGGTTCTCAACTGGTTTTGTCATACAAAAGTGAAAATGTCCTTAATATTAAATGCGGGATTTTCCCCCCTAAACCAGTTCAGCGGAAATCCCGCAACGCAGCCGATTCTAAAGATTTCATTGGTCATGTTAATCACTGTACTGATTGCCTACTAAACCAAACACTGATCCCTAAACCTACCCGTCACTGTAACCTTAACCAATGAAATTAACTGCAGGGCGGGATTTACGCTGAACTGGGGGGGGTAATGTCACGCCAAACATTAAAATGCATTAATATCATCACTGCATAGGCCCATCAAAATGACTTTGTGACAATGAGGTCATGTCATCTACCTAATTTGACTAGATTTATCCAAGTGGCAGATGAATTTGCACCAAAAAATACTGTTTCATTGGTTTGATTGATCAACAACCAAAGATAAATAAAGCAATGTCTGATTAAATGGTTAGTCGCATTTTATCATTTGCATTTAGCAGTGTTTTTGCCAGCTGTCAAAATCTGCAACCCATCAGAACAGACTTGCGGCACATTTATGTCACGACCCACCAGCTGAGAACCACTGATCTAAAGGAAATGCTATGATCTACGATTACAGCATATGTGCTCATACACACCTTTCTTTTTATCTGTTGCATCTGGCTTTTTGTCTGAAAAGTGACATGGATCAATCACATATTTGTGATATTTATAGATACAGATCATTTGGAGATGATGTGAGGTTTTAGTCATGTATGTTTAAAATGATGTATCTACACAGTTCCTGGCCAACATTTCAAAATAAATGCATTTCAAACTTCTAAACTCGGTTAGAAAAGAATCGATACTTGAGGAATTATTTTGGAAATGCATTTCAGTAACTCATCTTGAGCAACATACTTTTCTTTTTATCTTTCTTCTCCTTCTTCTTCCTCTCTTTTTCTTTCTTTTTCTCCTCCTTCTCCCTCTTTTTCTCCTCCTTCTCCCTCTTTTTCCTCTCCTTCTCTTCTTTTTTCTCCTCATCGTCATCATCATCATCATCATCATCATCTCCGCCTCCGAGCAGAGTGAAGATGATTCCCGTCTGAGAGTTCACCCCCACTGCAATGACCAGCATTTTTCCGGAGCCCTCCATCACATGCGTGCCTGAGCAAACAGGATAAAAATGGACATGTATATAGGGATCTGAGTATTGCAATGGCAAAACTGCATCAGTCTTGACCTTTAGAATTGTACGATTATTGTCACTTCAAGAAAAGCAGAGGAAAAACCTGAAAGAAGCATAGGGTCTTTGTCCAGAGTTTTTTTGACATGGTCTGACTCTCCAGTGAGGGAGCTCTCATCAATTTTCAGATCGTTGCCTTGGATTAGTACACCGTCAGCAGGAAGGAGGTCACCTGCAAGCACAAAGGACAGATGGTGTCGTCTGAGACACAACAGACAGATGTTTGCAAGCCAAAAGAGAGGTTTTAAACGAGCAAGACCGATGCAAACCAAAACGCAAGAACAAAAAACAGACTAATGCAAAAAACCTGTATTTTATATACTTTAATATTATTTTTTAAAGGAATAGTTCATCCAAAAAAGATGATTTTGTCATCCTCGTGTTGTTCCAAACCAGTATGCAGCTTGTTTCCCCTTCATACAGCTCTTTTCATACAACGACAATTTAAAGAACCACAAAACCAGTTCACACGACTCTATTGAAGTTATAGGTCTGTGTGAGAATCAAACTGAAATGTCATTTACTGATAATATTGACTTCCCTTGAACCTTTCATCTAGCACTTTCACATGCAGAATTAAAAAAAAAAAGTCTTTTTTTTAAGCTTGACAGATATGGTCACCATAACCAGTCACTTTATGGCTAGAGCTGTATAAATATTCTTCAAAACTTCCATCTAACAGCATGTGAGTTTAAAGCAACACGAGGGTTGAGCAAATAATGAAATCTTGAATACATACTAAAAAATATGTCTGACTCATTCTTAATTGTAATATATAAAAAACAGTTTTGAATCTTAAGGGAGTCCATCATTTTACCATATTTTACTTGTGCGATGTCTCCAACCACAATCTCGGATACAAGAATCTGAATGACTTGACCGCCTCGAAGCACAGTAAACCTCTGCTCTTGTTCGATGCGGCTCTGCAGTCCTCGGAATTGTTTTTCTTTGCTCCAATCGTTGAATGCCGTGACAAGAACCACACAAACGACGGACAAGAGGATGGCAGCACCCTCAATCCAGCCCGCATCTGCCTCACCCTCGTCCTCAGCTCCTCCAGCCGCCCTACCACAGTCTGCACCAATGTGAAAGCAACTGTAAGAAATAGCTACAATGGCAACTTGTGTATATAAGTCTTAGATTATAAGACTAGATATATTTTAAACGCACACTACCTTTCAAAAGTTTGGGGGTTTTTTTTGCAAGAAATTAATACTTTTATTCAGCAATTCAATTCAGTTGTGACAGTTCAGCAGTTCAGTTCAGTAGTGACTTTTATAATGTTACAAAAGATTTCTAGTTCAAATAAATGCTGTTTTTCTTTTACTTTCTACTCTTCAAAAATGTATCACTGTTTCCACAATAATATTAAGCAGCACAACTGTTTTTTATCATTGATAATAATAAAGCAATTCAGCATATCAGAATGATTTCTGAAGGATCATGTGACACTAAAGAAGACTAGAGCAATAATGCTGAAAATTCAGCTTTGGATCACAGGAATAAATTAAAATAGAAAACAGCTATGTTAAATTGTAATAATATTTCACAATATTACAGTTTTTACTGTATTTTTTTATCCAATAAATGCAGATGGTGAGCATAATAGACCTCTTTCAAATCCAAAACATTAAAAAATCTTACAGACTCCAAACTTTTGATTAGTGTATATAAGTCTGAAGTGTTAATTTAGGAGAATTTCAGGTACTTTAGTTGCATGTACAGCATAAGCAGGGTCCAAATTTAACATTGAGAGACTGACTCATCTTGAATATGATGCTGCAACTGACCCATTGCATGTCACAAACATGCAAGAAAATAATTGATGTTGACCCATGTTTTTTCAAATAAAAATATTACAACATATTTGGGGCCAGCGCAAAAACTACTGTCAGGATTTAGTAAATACCCACAGTGAAAAATCAGCGATGAAATGGTGTGGACACGGTCATTTTTACACCTGACCTTATTGCATATGCATTTGTAGGACTTTCCTTTTTTTCCGCAATATTTATGGGAGGAGAGTATTTAAATGAATCATGCAACATGATTTACTAAGGTTTGCGGTATTCAATTCACTGGTATTTGAACGATTATTTAACGCATTCTTTGCCTGTGTTGTTAGTAGATCACACACACCCGATTATCATCAGCTCTGCTTGTTTGAGACCCTATGCGAATTTGTCTGTGTCAGTAAATAGCATGCAGAAATTTCCACTCCCATTGGTGTTTTTACGGGATTGCAGTCTCACGTTAATCTGGCCCATGGAAGGCAATTTCATAGATTTTGCACCTTGTTTATAAGTAAAGGATGCCATGCTGAAAATCTGGCATTGCCGTTAAACAATAAAAGGTGTGTTTTGCATGGTACCAGAATGGGAAACGGTAATGCGGGTGGACCAGCTACGCCAGCTCAGTTTTGATTGAGAAGAGCATGACTACGTTGGTTCACTAGCTATATCAGCACTAAACCAGCTCTAATCAGCATAAACCAGCATAAACCAGCCTGGACCAAAATGGAATTTATGCTGGATTTTTCAGCAGGGTATGCAGGACTTTACTGCTAAATGCAGAGCAGGGCTCAGATAAAAGTATTTTTGAAAATATTTTTTTGCTAAAACCAGAAGCCCTGGGTGAGCTGAATACATAATAGCACTACGTCACCTTCAGGCCATGTTACAATTTCAAATTCATTGTTATTCCAGAGTACCACTGAGCAAGAGAAACAGAGGAATATTATTCATTGCAAGCCTAAAAGCCCTACGATACTCACATTCTCTCTCGCCATCAGGAGGTTTATAGAAGGAAAGGCCTAAGGATATTATGGCTGCAACTTCCAAAATAATTAGAGTCACATCCTGCAATGCTTCCCACACCAACTGAAGGAATGTTTTGGGCTTTTTAGGTGGTATAAAATTCTTTCCAAATTCTTCTTTTCTTCTTGCAATGTCATCAGAATGACCACTTAATCCTAGACAAAGAGAAAGAGCAGGGTAAGATTACTTATGCATTACTATTACAGAAAACAATAATGTATAGATAATAAAAATGTTGTGGTGGATTTTAAGGGCAAATAACCACAACAAATATTGTATTTATAATATTGTATTGTAACAATTTCTTGGTTCTGATTCCAAGGTTATGGTTATGGTTGGGAAGGTTATGGTTCTGATTGTAAAAATATTATACCACCATTACAGTCAAAGAGGATTTTCTAATTGCATAATTTAACACCCCTGCATTGTTCAAAGATGAAGAGATTTCTGAAAGGTTTCTTAGTAAGATAATGTTTGAATCAGATTTGACTTTTAGATGACCTAAATATCTATAAATCACACCTTATGGGGTATCTATGGCTACATTCACACTGTCAGTCCATATCTGATTATTTGTGTATCCGAATCTGATCTAAAATTATCGACTGTCCACATTGTGTATTGCAACTGTTCAGATCCGAATTTTGTCCTATGCCACTCCTTTATTTTCCGGAAAAGCTGCATCGGTTTCTATGGCAATGGCCTTGTCCTAAATGGCACACTTCATATGCACTTTCGGTCTTGTGGACTTACAATGGCTGCCGCGTGCACGTGCGCGTATCCCATTTGTCATTTTAGGTTTCAAAAGGGTGTGAACGCCCCCCTTTGCGGTTGATAGGCACCCTTGATGCACACTTTTGCAGAGACTTGTAAGAAGACTGCGAGTGTTTAAGGTGCCATTTGGGACAGGGCCAATGATGTTGCATTGGTAGGTATATGCATGGAGGGGTTTGCAATACAAATGTTGTCTTATTTACAAAATGACAATGTGTAGATGCAACGCTGGACTACTGTGTCTTATGAGGGAGTGGCAGAAACGTACAAGGCTGGTATGCGTGGCTTTATATTCCAAAAATTGTATGTGGACTGACAGTCTGAATGAGGCTGAGGTTAATATGTACTAAGTTTGCAATGATAAATCATTTTGTAAAATGACGGATGGATCAAGTTGAGTGAATAAGTCAATCCTCAAACTTGGGACTTATTCTAGTTCTATTTTCCAATGCTTGAGAAATTGAATTGGATTTGGAGAGGGTTTATATTTTGTTTTGTTTTTCATTTTAAACATAATGGATTCCAAAACATATCAAGCCAACCCCTGCGCAAGCAAGAGCACAGCCTGAACACTAACACAGTGTAATCCCTCTCCTCCTGCCCTTGCTCAATTGCAAAACGCTAGTCCTCTGTCCCCTCAAAGGTTTACCCACTGTTGGCAAGGGCAAAAATGAATGTAAACCCTATGCAGCAGAGCAGCGGCCAGTGAGATTAGCGTGAAGCGGAGCAATGAAGAGCCTGCCTTGGTTTGAGGTGAGTGGGATTACATGAGGTAAACTGATCTGGTCCCACCTGTCACAACTACAACTGTCTGTTATGGCTCATGACAAAGCTAAATATGTCAGCAGACTCAGCACAGAGCAGTAAGCCAGTGCAAATCGAACCAGACAATATAGATGGATGACAAGATAAATCGGACTTAATGCACCAATAATCAAGATCAGGTTGTTACAAGAGAGTCTTTCAAAACAGAAAGGTTGTGTATTTATAATGCACATAAAAAATCTTAAATGAAAGAATCACAAGAGTAGTTGTAAACATATTTCACTGGAATTATCAAGGGAAACATAAGCTTATCATGGTGTAAGACAAATGATTGGAGTTGAGTTTGTTGGAATATTATGAAAACGGATTGGTCTAAACTAAGCACAGAAGGAGACGAATAAAAAGGTGAAATGTACAAACTGGAAAGCGACTGTAAAATCTAAGACGACATGGTCAGTTTGATAACCATGATGATTAAGTGACAAATGCCAGATGCCACTTGCTAAGCAAGAAAGGCAATCATTTCCAGTGCAGTGGTTAAACTATTTGAACTGACTGACACATAATAACTGAGATTTAACTACAAGTGTAAGGGCGGTTAATTAAACTTTTTAAATATTGTTATTCATTATAGCTTTGATTCCTAACCATGGGCACTTAGAAAGACACTTAGAAAAACAGACATAATGACTAAAATGTTAGGGTTGTCAATCATTTGAAATTTCATTGACACTTTGCAATAAGGTCCCATTAGTTCATGTCAGTTAATACATAAACTAACATAAAAATAACAATTAGCAAAAAATACAAATGTTCATTGTCCATTAAAAAATATTAACACCAGATACAACTTTTGATTTTAATAATGTATTAGTAAATGCTGAATTTTACATTAAATTATAAATGCTAAAAGTATTTTCATTGTTACTGTTAGTTGATGTTAACTAATGTTAACAAATTAAACATTGTAAAGTTTTACCAAAATAATCACTATTATCGTGATTTTTTCATTTCCTTTTCTATGTAATGAAAATTATGTAGGCCTGTGTTATGCATTGTGCATGTTTTATACATTTGTATTGATCACATTAAATTTATGTGACATATCGCAAAATATGCTGCTTGTCGAGTCAATCACAGTATTGTTTTTTATTTAAAAGTGACTTCAATGGTAATGCAAAATGACATAGGCCTATACTGTAAGACATGAGTTAAGGCCAGTTCACACCAAGAACAATAACTATAACAATTACTATATTAGCGTTCACACTAATGCATGATATCGTTCTGTTTATTCTCAGTTTTGTAGCCTGCCGTTTTGAATGCTCACGCTCTTTAAAGCAGGATGGATTCTGATTGGCTGTCAATGTTTTTAAAGTGGTCACCTGGAGACGAACTATATACCTCATTATGGGCTCCATCATCCAAAGGAGATGCTGAGAGAGTCTTAAAAGCTAATATTTTGTCCTTGATCAAACCTATATGGTCCTTGATGACAGCTACAATGCTTACGCACACAGGCAAATGGAAAAAGAAGTCTGAAACGTCTAATTGCTAATTAGCTATTTAACTGACGCATTTATCCAAAGTGTACAGTACACTTGTTACAGAGACAATCTTCCTGGTGGGGCCTGAGGTTAAATGCCTTGCTCAAGAGCGAAATGGTGAGAGGTCATGGATCAGATTCAACCTTTGCTCAGCTCAGATCTATAGTATAATTACCCACCAGACTAAATCAGCCTCAGCGTCACTAAACTATTTGGTTTAATAAGACCTGTGGCTCAGCAGAGCTGAAAGTGATGTTTCTTTCTAGGTATGCATGATATATCGGTACCATATCGGTAACCGGACGATATTAGAGATTTTGTACATTTATCGTATCAGTTGATATTGGATATTTAATTGTGCATGCTTATTTCCTACGCACTGTAATCAAATTTTTTTAAAAGATCAATAAGTCATGGAAACGTGTTTTTCGTGTTTTGACCAATTTCAACTTTGTTTTTAAGTTATACAAGATTCATCTAGGCAATATTTAAAAAATTGAGTTGAAATGACTTAAACAGCAAACCTGACTAGCACAGTAAATGTGACAGTTTTCCAGGTTACCCAAATATAAAGTTATGCACAAAGTGGGCTTGTTTTGGAAATAACAAAAAAGACAATACTATTGTCAATTATTAATGAAATATTTACCCTCTGTTGGTGATGATTTTAACCTGGAGCAGAGTCCTTGAACATCTCCAAAGCACTCCTGAATCTTTTGTAATCCATCTGTCCCTCTGAATTCCATGAGAGAGCGTAGCTCTTTGAGTGTACAGCCAAACTCTCCATCATGATTGGCCTCTGCCCTGTACTTCGACCCACGGAATGAGTTTCTGGCCATGGTCCCGAAGAAGCGCACCAACAAACTGAGGAGAAGTGGCTTCCCCTTGGGCAAGCGGTGACAATATCCAGACTTATTTCCTCAGGGATGCAAAAAGCGACTCTTTTGATGACAAACCAGGTGTAATTCGAATGCCATTTCTACTTGATTTTCTGGTGTATCTTCTCTCATCTTCGTTTGATTGGGGTCACTGAAGGTCAAATCATCAGGTGTGCACCAAGTTACATCTGAAACAAAACCAGAAAGCAAGTTCATTACATGCTCTATCATTCCAATGTCAGCTTTTATGAACATTTAGCTCCTGAAGCCAAATAAAATGTGATTATTCGTGTCCTGTCACAACTGCCAGATCCAGTGATACCACTGTCAATCAACAAAGGAAGTCACATCAAACCATGTGTCACTGTTAAATATGATGTTGATAGGTATACAAAGTGACATTAGGCTTTTGTAATGACCCTTCAGTGGAAAGATCCGTTACGTCTGCTTAAAGAGCGGAATGCTAAAATTAGTTCTGTTACATAAAACTGGCATCTCGTCTAGAAGAGACCTGCCAAAAACAATAGACGTGACTCAAAAGTTCTGTTCAAAATACAGAGTGGGAAATAAAGTTTTAGAGGATATAACTGAATGAACAGATGATCAAACCAGTGTTATTTTAGTCTTATTTATACTATTATAGTTTTCATTAACATTTTGCAAATAGTTTACTTAACAATAATAACTCTGGATTGAACAAACAAACAAATGAACAAACAATTTTCACTGCAAATCAGCAATAAAGTCCGGCATTATTGTAATTGTAAATTATGTTAGGATTTAAAGGCTGTTTGGAGTGACATCTAAAGTCCTCTCAAAGGTCATAGACAACACAATATGTTCTGGTTATCTTGAACAAATCTGCAGTTTAAAGCACCTCATATTTCTTCAGACATTAAATGCTTGTTCGCAATACTACTGGAGTTTCATCTTTACTTTTGATCAGTGTCAAATAAGTCTTTTTCTCAATTAGAGAAGAAAACAACAAAATCCAACCTTGACATGCCAATCAAACGATTGAAATCATTATTTTACAGAAGCGCTAAACTAAAACCCACCGTGACAGTCGACATACTTCAATTCATTATCATTAAACAGACGAAAAAGTATATACTCACAGATTTGTTTCCATTCCTGCAACGAGACAAATGCAGCACCTTGACCAGCACAGTCAGAAGGTGCTGGTTTCAGAGACTGTGTGACTCGCTGTCATGTACAATTACCCCAAACAACATAAAAGTCTCTATTACAAAGCGACATGCCAAAAATGATCCTTTACTTCAAATTATTTGACCTTCAGTTTACAGTCTTGAGGAGCACAGTCTCCATTGGAGGAAATGGCTTGCTGAATGATTATCTTAGGAAAGCTTCTTGCTTAATCTAATTAGACAATCCGTGGCAGTAGTGAGACACACAGCCACGGCTGCTGTGTATATGGAAGAGTATGCACTGTTGAACACAGACAAACACGTTTACTCATTCCTAGATAGTACCCTCAGTTCATTCAGCCTTCTGAGGGAGCCGGATAGAGCCTGGGGCCCAAGAGTTCCTATTAAACAAAGAAGCTTTTATTTGGTACATTTATTTGAATCACAAATAAACTTAAGGGGAATTTCATAAAGAAGGCTGAAAGAACAGCTTGAATGTCACTATTTGAGGTTTTATACACAATCATTTTATGTGACGTCCAAACTGGTATTGTAAGATTATAAAATCTGACTTTTATCCACACACAGCTGCACCTTCTTCAATGTGTCAAACTAAAATCCATATTTATCCATGCTGTGAATGAGAAGTGTGAGTCACATTCATGCATCAGATATGGAATATTACTGTCTAAATGAAGGGAATAAGTGAGAAGTGTTAATGAATGAGCATTTGACAGGAATATCTTGTTATTTTACAGGACTATATATATCTATAACTATATCTAATATGTTCAGTATTGTATATTTTTGCTGTATGACATGAAATATCACATGACTTTCACATAACTCTATCATAATACACTTTGCATAGATAGGCACAATGGCTATAGTCTATGTTGGCAATGGCAATATTTAGACATATGGCAGAAACAAGAATAACTAGTGTTTTAAAACGGCTCAAAATAAAGTATCAAAAGCCTTTAAGGCGTTAAGGGATTTTTATTTGATGTTTACACCCCAGGTTGTCTTTTGCAAAGTGAGTTAATAGTTAGCTTTATCTTAAAGAACTTTTAAAGCAAAATACTTACGTTTTTTGAGTGACAAATGTGTAAACCTATAATAAAAGATAGTGGTATGTACGTTTCGTCGACGTGTGGAAACCTCTCGAGCAGCTAACTGTTGCTATGGTTATCATCACCATCTGTTCGCTAGTGTCTGTGTATATTAACTTTGTGGTTACTTAAACAAAAAAACTTTGCTGAATTGTACATATTTTGAGACCCCCATCAACATTTTGGGTTACACTTTATTTGGTAATACTTTATTTTACAGTTTCCTTGTTACATATGTTACATGTACTTACCATAATAATAACAGTAAATTATGCATAATTACATGCAACTAACCCCTTAACCAAATCCTAATCCTACCCTAACCCTATAGTAATTACTCAGTACTTAAATATATAATTACACTGTAACAATGACACCTTAAAATAAAGTGTAACCCTTTATTTTAAGACGACGTAGTTACATTGTAATTACTCAAATAAGTAGCCTACTCAGTGATATTAATTAACTACACGTCACGTAAAGACTTACGGTTAGGGTTTGGTTTAGGGTTAGTTACTTGTAATTATGCATAATTTACTGTTATTAGTAAGTACATGTGGTAACGTGTAACTACGTCACCTTAAAATAAAGTGTTAACATTACCACATTTTGTTTTGACTACTCCCCACAATTTGCACCCTCAGTGAATGGGATAAAATGTTAATATTATGACATTCATCACCATAAAATTATAAACATATTCTACTATTGGTCTATTTTATTACCATAAAATTATAAACATGAAATGGCCTGAAGACAAATCAAACCTAAAGCTCATGGCCCCCAAGGCAGAAAGCATGATGCAGGCAGTTATGATTATGAAGTCATTGTGCCATCATGCAAAATCCTCATGGCGACACAAACAGCATTGCGCGCAGTAATGGGCCCATATATGATTCTGTGTTGCTTATGAGCATGAAGTTTAGGCTACAAGAAGGAAGAGTAAACGACAGTCTCTCAATCACAGTTCTCATGTATAACTCGACTGACGCACGCGAACTTTGTCAGAAATAGGCCTTAGTATCTAAACATGTAATACTGCTTTACATTAAAATTCATCTGAGAGAAAAAAAAAACATTATTTTTTTCTTCGTTGCATAGCCTAAGTCTGGGGGAATATTTAGAAAGTGACGGAACAGTAATTAATTTTTATAAAGAATCATATTTTGCTGTCAGAAAGTATAAAGCAGAACATAAGGAGGAAATCATAAAAGGCATGCAAAAACAAAGCGGTTTCCACAAGCTAAAATGTTAGGATAACTTCAAACCGTAGCCTGTTTCCACTAATAACCCGAATCTGTTATCGCTTGCCATTTGATAAAAATGTAATTTGGTCCCTAGGTACTGTAATATCTGAAACAATCATTTTATATACCGTATAATAATGCATTTTAATTGTATACATGTGTACTCACTTTGAACCGGTGCGCGTCAGTTCCACTTGGCATCAGTAGTCTCGCGCAGTGGATCTACAACTCGATCCGTAACGACCCGCCCACCGCGCTGGAGTCTGTGGAAGATTTACGTCAGAGGCACGGCTCGGGATTTAACGCAGACTCCCATTGGCCAGGGCTTGTCCCAGGTACAGGTGTCATCCCTTGTTGAAACAGCTGTCATCACCAGCAAACAGCAAAGATAGGGAGATGTGATGGACAAGCGGGCCATGATAAACTTGATGTATTATTATTAGCAACAAGAGGAGGGCCATAGTAGGCCTACAGAATTATCTTATTGAAGGCTTTAGCTCCACTATCCAGCCACATAAAATGAAGACTGAGTGAATTAGTATTTTTGTCTAAAGATTGAGGATAGAGGCTGTTGAAGAATACTATTTATAAAAATAAATCTGAAAATAGTTGGAATGTGTCGTCCCATATAAGCCAAATAATAAGCATATAAAAATCCTCTGTGATATTTATAATGCTATATAGTCTCTTGGGATGTGTTTTTTGTGTGTGTGTTTGGTATGCACCATAAGCGCAGGCGATGCTCCTCGTACGCTGGCACGCGAGCGTTTAACTCCACGGCTCTGTCTCAGGGACGGTAGAGAGCATGACCTCGCTTAAACAGGATTAGCTATAAATAGTTCTGCCTATCCTCTACTCTCGCGACGCGCGCTCCATCGCTAAACCCGCTGCACTGTAGCTCAGGTTTGATTGAGCATCCATCTCTACCTCCACCTTTGCCATATCAACCCCTGGTAAAAAAAAAAAAATAAGGAAAAAAAGATATGTGCTTATTTGAATGTAATATGCACTTGTAGTGTAGGCTACTTCAAAAAATTAACCGTTAAAAAAAGGGACCTGCAGATGGCCTAATATGATTAAAATAAAATGCTACTTAAGTGTACTTAAAGAGAGTATCATGATGTTTCTTAACACACTTAAGCACAGTTTTAAAAAAAAGTGCACTTTGTAATAAGGTCAAATTAAACGTTTAACTTTAAAGTACATTTTGATTAATATTTTAATAATCTTTTGTCATGTTTTAAAGAGGTAGCCTACATGTAGTCTCGCGTAGCCAGACCTTCAGACTGACGGCTGAAGGTCTGGAATTCATAGCAGCTTTCTTTGGCCAAGGCCGGCCCATAAGGCCGTTTGACCGACATGTCAAACAACCAATTACAGTTCGTTTCGTTCAGCGTCACGTTTCGGGGCGTGGAAATGTCCCCACAAACAGACCGGCGTGCAACAAGTCAGTCAGCATAGAAAATCAAAGAAGGAGAAGAAAACTTCAAGAGTCTATGCCGTGAACCTCGCATACTTTTGAGAATCCTACGTTTAGCTGATCTTGATAAATGCTCATTGTCACTCATGTAAACACAACAGTTTTTCTTCCGCAATCACACGTCTGCGCTTTTTTTCCCGGCGGACCGAAAATAAACGCGACACTCGCGCCCCCCGGAAATCCGATAAAATTCAACCAATCAGATGACGACTTCGACATTCCTGAAGTGTTTCCAGTTAAGTGTACCATATGCATCAGACGTTTAGCCAACGTTCCGTGGGCGTGACGTCTGAGGCTGAGACTAGCCTACATGTAACCGCTCCAGTCCTACTCGCCCCGCTCCAAGTGGGACTCGAACTGGCGTCTCCAGCATGGGAGGCGGGCGGACTAACAAGGACGTTAAAGACCGCAGCCTCTAGCATCAGTCACTACAGTGCCTCTTGTGGCCAGGCGAGTGAGGTTCACTCGCACAGCTCTTACTAGCTGGCCTCCGTTACACTCACCCCTCTAAACCTCACTCTCAACCGGGTCACGGCACCAAATGTAATCGGTCCTTGACCTGTTCCGTGCGAGATTTGGCTTGGGAGGCAGGCAGGCTAACAAGGACGCTAAAGACCGCAGCCTCTAGCGTCAGTCGCTACAGTGCCTCTTGAGGCCAGGGGAGTGAGGTTTACATGCACAGCTCTTACTAGTTGGCCTCTGTTACATACACATATTTTGATGTGTTGACCAACATACCAAAGCAGATGTGAAGTAGGCCTACTTGATTATAATTAAGTGTTATTTACATTTAAAGGTACTAAATTGCAAATTCGTCACCACTACTGATCGCTTAAACACCTGGATTAATTCACATTCCTATTTTTTTAAACCCACAAAATCTGCAACATGAGACCAGATTTTTTAGATTTTTCCATAATGGTTAAAAAGTTGGAACAGCTGATCTGAGACTACTTACTATCTTCATCATAACTCCAGTTTGTCATTCCGAACCGGTCGTTCCCCTCCCCCAGCCACGCCTCTGGTAAATTAGAGATCAAGCCAAATGTCTTTCCTGATCCAGGCCCTGCCCTCCCGTATCACCTCAGTGCCGCAATGACGGCCGATGATGTCAAACCCTGCCCACACATGGAGTCGAGTGTGTGCCTGTGCAGCCGGCCATACGGCGTAAAATGATACTAAACGCACAAGGCATGTATGCTTCAACTTTGATGACCATTCACGTACACAACTGCTCGCTGTCACAGGATTACATTGAAGACACACACTCGAGCGAACACACACACACACACGCGCACACACACACGCGCACACACACACACACACACACACACACACACACACACACACACACACACACACACACACACACACACACACACACACACACACACACACACACACACACACACACACACACACACACACACACACACACACACACACACACACACACACACACACACACACACACACACACACACACACACACACACACACACACACACACAGCAGGATTACCAACACAGTTCCACACAGACATAGCAAGATTACAGAAACACATACAACCCCCTCTTCTTCCCCAACACAGGATACAGACTGCTGGATTAGAGAGACACAGATTTACATAGAGGGAAATTACAATACAGTGCATGTCAAAAACTCTCTCAAATGCACTGTTGAGAATAAAAACACATTCATGCTCTAATAAGATTGTATTTATACACCTAAACATGTTAAATACACATCCGTATCTGATCCAGATGTTGATTTTACTGTAAGTACAAAATACCCATTTGAGTGACAGATGCAACACTTTACATAAGGGCCAACGTGATTCTGAAAGACAAGGGCTTGAGGTTTAATTGGCACCGTTGGATCGATCAGCCTCTGTTGGAGTGCTCACATTGAGATATTGAATAGCATCCTTGCACAAACAGAACGTAGAAGACACAAACACACCATTAACCTTACACACTTCATGTGCACACGCGCACGCACAAACACACCGTCACAGAAAAACCTCTCTAATCTTCTCTCAATGGTTTAAAGCCGCTGAAGAAGCTTAATAATTTAAGAGGAAAACAGCATCAGTGCTTTTAAGGACATATGCACAGAGATTAGCCCCCTTGCGCCACGCTGGACAACAAAAGACACCCTTTCACATGACTGAACTGATGATGCAAAATGCATTTTGTTATCAATACGATAAAGTAAAGTGGGCAATATATCGATGTAACAGAGTTTTGCTCGTTCCACTTCCGTATGATGTTCAATATGTGCCAGAAAGGAATCGACTGCTTTTTTACTATAAATTTGTCCATGTCATTGTGTACTTAAAGTCCCCCTGTGAAAATCAACCTTTAATGTTGTTTATGTCTATGTGGTATTTTTAATATGCTTTAAGACAAACCATTTGCAAATGCATAAGTCACACCATTGCTGAGCATTTTCTCCTTACTGTAATACTGCAGTGAACCAAAAACAGTCTCAAAATCACGGTTTTAAATCGCTGGTGTTTCTGACGTCACTAACTACCTTGTAACCAATCACGTCAACGTGTGATCGTCAACAAGTGGATCTCTGAGCTGGTGTGAGTGAGTGGAGGCAGGGCTAATTTGCATTTTCATAGAACTCCGTATAGATTACTAAATAAGGCAAAGGTGTAGAGTTACATTCAAGCTATTTTAAGGCATGAAGACATTGAAGGAAAAAACTTTTAAATATGTAATTTTGGTGATCAAAGATGAGTTTTAAGGGATAAAATTGTTGAGAAATTTATGAAAAATTAGATGTGTATGTTCTTTGTTTATGTCATCTTGTTCTGTCATTTATGAAAGGCTGTTTTGATAAAATTACGGCATTCTGTTTGTGCCAAAAACAAAATCTGTTGGGGTGCTTTTACACAAGCACAAAAGATGTTGATCCAGGAACATGTCTTTATGTCTTTACTTGGCAAAATCAGACCGCGGGTTCACCCCAGGCATTCTAACCACGTGTGAAAACACCCTAAAACATTATGACGGAGCATGAAGATGAAACATAAAGACTATAGTTTTTAGTCTTGTTTTCTCGGGTTGAACATGGTGAATAGGCGCTTGTCGGGTAGAATGTCAATACAGGTTTAACAATATAGACATAGACAAATGCATTGTACAAACCAATCAAACATTTTTTTTTGGGCACAAATGACGTGCCATACTTACACACTTTCCTGCCTTTTAAATGCATCTGAAAGTTTTATGCATTAGCTGCTTGGCAGATCATGCATTAACTGGGCCACATCTCTCTTGTCCAATTAGTTGATGAATTGTATGTTGACACTCCATCTTGACAGGACTTGTTGACTGTTTCTTCATTAGGGAAGAAGTCCCTCTCTATTATTAATAGTTTAGCAGAGGCTTGTAAAGGTCAAATGCATTGGTTGAGATTTCAAACATGATCATCTGGATAGGATACAGTAATAGCACAAGAGCACTGTACTTATTTCAAGTAAATCTGACGTGGAGATGTTACAACCCATTATTATATTAATTATAACCAATCTTACGTCGTGCCTTCGTGTAGAGTGATACAATGTTTTTTTTTTCACTGGGCAAAGGGCATACTTTCATAGACCCAACTATTCTTTAAACTTTTACATTTTAATCTTGTGGAATTTGTGGAAAGATGTACTTTTTCATATCCTAAACACAACGACCATCTGCTTATATTGGGATATCTAATTTCTCCCCTTCACCATTGGGTGCAAATGTGTTGCTTGGTATGTTTTCTATGGGACAAAAGTGGTCATCCTCCAGGTGGCGCATGGCTGAGAACCGCAACCTCAACGAGTGCATTAAAAATCTCAGGACGTTATTATTGGATACCTTTGTTCACTAAAAAGTATAATTGGTTAAATCTATCAATATCCTATGTTAAAAGTTAGCATGCAAAACTGACCCACGAAAAATGATTTTAAAAATCTTCAACTTCGCAAACAACTTTAATTGGTCAATTCTGATCATCGCTGAGAAAAGTAACAGCTGTCACTGGATTGTATTGTCCAGTGGTGCCTGTTATTTTTCTCAGCGCTGTTCGGGATAGACTAATCACAGTTGTTTGTGAATACCGTATGACAAGAATTTAAACCTACTAAAATACTTAAATAGTCTTTTAATCGAAAATACACAGAGAGTAGCTAAAATTATTATTTATACATATTAGAGACAACCTCCGGTCCAATAAGCCACGCCCCGTTTAATGTTAATTCCTTTCTTTGGTCTTTGGTTTGGTCTTTTCTAGCCTAGTCAGTAGCCATAGAAAGAGCTCGTTAGTGCGTTCGAGTTTAATGTTTTAAGCACACGTAGTAATTCTGTTTAGGTCAAACTAGATTTTGCATTTCGATAAGTAGTTTTATAAGCATTCCAAAGAAGCATATTCGCTCCTTCAATATAAGGGAACTTAGTAGGCAGCCTATCCAGGATGTGCTTGTACGGCGCCATTTTCCCTGGGAGGGAATGTTAACAGAAGCACACTGCCAACGTGCACTATTAAGGGCCCTAGAAATCTGTTTTACGAAGTGATATAAAATATGGATTCAGCGTCGACCAGCTCTAAACACATCTATAAAAGTAAGTCGTTCGATTTTGCGCGAAAATAATAAGTAATGTGAGCATTAAGCTAACTAACTGGCTCTTTGATGTACACTAGTGTCTACTGAGGATATCACAAAACTGATACAGCTGCGGTCGAGCAACTCAGCGCTTTTTGACGGGAGGAAAAATTCGTCAAAAACAGCCTGGAGGTGCGATTTGTATCCTTAGAATTTGCACTGATCTCTCACAGCCTGTATTCTGATTAAAAGTTATTATATTGTTAATTGTTCCCCCCTTATAGTGCAATACTCAGAGAAATGGGGCTTGATGAAAAGATGACAACTGAGCAGATTGCCAAAAAGTGGGAAAACCTGAAGGCAAGATACAAGGTTGGTCTCACTGCCAATTGTGTTTTTTAAATGCCAACATATTCAACAGTTTAATGAATTTACCAATTCAAGGATGCAAAATATCCTCCCACCGGTGTGGAGAAGAACCCCACCTGCTGGAAATGGTTCAATCTCATGGACGATGCTCTGAGTGAAGAGTTTGAAGAAAAGATCAGCCAGCAAGTGATCACATCAGAAGCTGAAAATGATAATTCACCTCATCCGAGTAAGAGGTTACGTCAGATCAAAGTCAAAGGGGAAATATTGGAATTTCTGGAAGAGGAAGGAACTTCTGTGAATGTGCCAGCAGCCACCAAACCACATCTGGTTAAGGAGGGAAAAGGCAAACATACAGCAGAGAGCTATTCATTGGACATCATGAGAACCAAACTTCAAAGAGATAGACAGCTTCTAGAGAAAGAGCTTGGAGGCCTGGACAGAGAAAAAGCCCTTCTGGAGCGGGAAAGGGCCCTTGCAGATCGGGAAAGAGCGGCTCTTCACCGGGACAGAGCCCAGGTAGAGAAGGACAAAGCTGCAGTTAAAAGAGACAAGGTGTCATTGGAACAGGACAGAGCCCGTCTGCAGAAAGACAGAGACGCATTGGCCAGGGACAGAGTGGCCCTTGAAAGAGACAGAAAGTCGGCGGATTTTACAAATCACGTAAAAAGCAGTTCAGGATGCAATGGACTGGACTGCCCTCATGAAAAGAACAGAGAAAAATTAATATTCTTACTTGAAAGAGTAATTGAAAAAATGTGAAGCAACTCTGAGAATGAAGCAAACCTCAGGGAAAATACTGTGAGATAGGATATCTGAACGCTCCTTGGGTTGTTGTCTTCGCAGTCTTTTATTGAAATTATGAAATATGTTTTTTGTAATTTTCACTCCTAAATCCATCACATTTATCAAACACAGTATTGACTTGACTGGAGTTCCCTTACCACATAGATTGGTAGGGTGCACAAGGGCCCCTAAATTAAAATGTTTTTGAGATTTGTTAAATTATTTGTGAGTGTTGACTAAGAAACACAGGATGTGATGCTTTATTTCTGATATAATGTAATATAATAGTGTCTGTCTGTCTAAGTATACCGTTTGTGCCATAAAGGTCAAAACCCAAGATTGGTGGTCCACTGTGTTTTCATTCAGATGCGCAAGGGAGAGTTGAATATAGTTTACCAGGGTTTTAGATTTTATTGTTTATTACTTTAGTGTTAAAAGTTTGCTAAAAAGTATAAAAAGCTGTTTAATGACAGGTTCCATTTGTGAAAACTTAGTCACAAAACTCACAAATTATCAATGTTTTTTCAATGAGTGGTAAGGTGTCAACAATAAACATAACTAAAAAATATACACTGACTAGACAAAGTGTAACAACTGGTCTCACAGTTTTTAAGTGTAATTTCCACTCAAATGTTAACAAAACATGAAATAAAATGATAAATAAAAAAAGATATATTATTATAATAAATGTATATTAATACTGTATATTAAATAATGCAGATGAAATAAAATAAGATGAAATTTGCCATTTTTTTTTTTTTTTTTACATGAAAATAATTCAAAATAAAAGCATTTAGACTTTTGGATCCAAGTATATCAACACGAAATCTTAATTCTCTCAGAAAAATCTTACTGTTGACAGTGGATTACTTACTAATTAGTCACTGATTGCAAATACATGACAAAAACTGTAGTTATGTAATTCATTACATTACACATTTAAATTAAGATAATATGGCCTTTTGATTACTTTTAGATTACTTTTGACCTAACTCGTTTTCCACATTGATTTGAACAGGATAACATATTGTACCAAACTTTGTACCATATTGAAATAAAAATCGAAATGACGTGAATTTGTACTTGAATGCCTTCCAAAGACAGTAATACATGGTTAAATGACTCACTGCGTGATAATTCAAATAGTAATAATGTGTTCCCAAGAGTTGATTAGATATATGCAGTAAAAAAAGTTTCTGTAAATCCTGTGATCAAATGCTGTGTTTTAAAAAAAAGTAGTAGGGTGAATCAATGAATTATGAATAATTTACATTGTGAGAATAACATGTAATCATGTAGCTAATCATTAGAAAAGTAACTGTAGTCTAATTACGAGTATTTTAAAATTTAGGCTATAACAAGTACTTTTTTTTTTGGAATCAGATAAATAATCCAGATTACATGTAATCATTTACCCAGTGACTGTTGAGATCAGCGTTATTTTAGTAGTTTTAAATAATCTTTTAAACTAACTTTTATTTTTATATTTTCAGTTTTCTTTTTTTTCTCGCAGTTATTTTATATTTCCAGAGATTTAAGTGCTTCATCTTAAAGTTATTTCAGTTACTTGCAGGAAACCATTCTAATATTCCTTTAGTTTAAGTTTTTAATAATATTTATAACTATAATATGTCTGTTGTATTTTATTTTAGCTTTTATTTTATTAGCTTTAAAAGAAAATTATTTAGCGCTTTTTGTTGTTGCATTATTTAGACTCGATTTCTCATAAAACGTGTAGATTTACTATTTATTTTAACTGAATATGAAATCCAATTTCATTCAGCTGTTTTGCTCCTGACAGCTAGAGGGCAATAATCTGACATCATTCGTCTATCTGTTAGAAACGGGAAAAGCTGTGAAGAAGTGTTGTCTGCAACAGACACAAACGGTTGATGAAGAAGAGATGAAAGAAATCCATAATATTCATGATATTACTTTATATCTCATTAGAGGAGTTTGGCCACCTCTCTCACTTTAAGAAATGGCGCAATCATCTCAACAGTGTGAGTGTCATTCTGTAAAGCTGCACTGTGTCTGCACGCATGCAAAACTTTCGCACATTTCTGTAACTCTCTTTTATGAGTTCATATGTAATTCAACGTGGATTTAAAACCAGTTTAATGTATATGACATGCGCAGTTACAAATAACTTAATAAATGAGGATTTATTACTATTATTTCAGACTGTCAGTTATCAGTGTTTATAATGTGGTTTGACTGGGCTGTTTGCTTTCTATATAAAATCACATGTACAAACCTATAGTGAATTCATATTGTCCTGTTTGTTTGCATTGCGGTTCTGTTTCAGGGTCTCACAAGGACACAGAGACACTGATCAGGTGGCGCATGGCCCATGGCTATTTATTCTCAGGCTGGAGAAACACTTGCAGAAATGGCTGGGAGTATGTATTCATTGTGATTCTTTTTGCATCTGATGTACATGTTGTTTGTATCCTCATTTTCTATGCTTATTGTTTGTTGTTGCAATTGTTTTACAATAAAGAACTATTAATAAAGGGGTTTTCACATTTTTCTTACCAGGGACCCCCATTTATTGTAACCCCCTTTCTAATATATAAAGATACATACTTCATATATAATAATAACCTATTTATATTGTGTAATACTAACAATAAAAATATTGATTATATTAATTACTGCCTGTATTGTATATAAATTATTTACGTTTATTTTTTTCTAAGTTGCTATGCAAGTTAGAATGCTATTTAATCATTTAAAATATTTGGCAAATGTTTAGTTATGGTTTAGTTATTTTAAGTTGATTTTGTATTTGTTGCTACCCACTTTAGATTAGTTAGATTACAATTTAATGTTAAATTAAATACATTTAATTATTTTAGCAGTCTTCACAATAAATATAGTTACAAAGCAGATTTACAGAGAATATTTTCATACAGCACCAAACAAGCCAGATTAAGGTCACTGGCAAAAGAGATCTCATTAGAAATAAACAGCACAAGTAATGGTTATAATATAAATATAATTTATTTTATAAAATAATATATTTTTAGAAATTATTCTTAAAATATTAAATAACAATATAAAAAAAATCTACAAATATAATAATATAAAAATTGAATTAAATTCTAATTAAAATTGTGACAGCCCTAAAAATGTAAAGAAAAATTAAATATCTCAAATTTTTCATAGACATTAGTGTCACCCAAACAGTTCTAAAATCCCCAGTCTTTATCTATATTCAATTGAAAAAGAGAAATTGACAAAGAGAGTTTTCTGTTTGTAGGATGTTCATTCAAGAGACAAAATCAAACCTGAATGGAAATATTACTTCTCAAAGAGCAAAACGAAAGTGGGAGAACCTAAAATGCAAATACAAGGTAAGATGGATGCATAGGGTCTGTCTTATGTTATTAAAATGATTTACTTGTATACCTGCACCCCACTCATTCTTTATTTTCTTCAGAAAATATACAAATCTAGTTGCATGCAATTGTCCTAATGTAGTTTTCTCTCCGCTTTTTGCCTAGGTTTTAAAAGCTCTTGCGAAGGATGTTGAAACGGTTAAACCTGAATCCTGGCGGTGGTTCAGACTCATGGAAAAGGCAGTAGATGGCGATCCCACTGACGTCGACCCTCCTAAACCGACCTTACTGACCAACCTGGCGGATGAGACCGAATGTGCAGCCCAGCCCTGCAAGAAGATGTATCAGGTAGAAATGGGGAGTGATATTTTAGAACTACTGACTCATTCAGTCATCGAGGTCAATACTCAAGCGACGCTAGCCGATGATGGACCCTCATCAGACACAGCAGAAAGCGTGAAAGAGAGACCGATGGAAAAAAGCCCCCCAGAGACTCATGACGAGCTACACTATGAAAAAGCCAAACTCAGAAGAGAGCGACAGCTTCTGGAGAAGGAGCACGCAGACCTGGACCGAGAGCGAGTGCTGTTGGAGCGCGAGAGAGCTGTCGCAGACAGAGAGAAAACCGCACTGGAGAGAGACAGAGCGCAGTTGGAAAAGGACCGAGCTGCAATTGACAGGGAACGAGCGTCTCTGGAACAGGACAGAGCGAGACTGGAGCGGGACAGAGCGGCCCTTGAAAGAGACAGAGAGACTTTAACCGCCATGGCTCTTGAGACAAATGCCACGGGACAAACTGAACCACACTCCCCATATGCCGAGGACAGGAAAAGATTAATATTTTTGTTCGAGAAACTAATCGAGAGATTTTGAAATCACTCTGAAGCACTTAAAAGCATCAATGTTGCTCTTTCTGTAGGTATTTAAAATAATAAATTATTTAAGGTAAAGTGGTTCAGGTTAAGTTGACCCTTTTACTTGAGACACATTTAGAGGAAATGTGTTCCCAGCTGTGTTCAGAGCTGTACAGTTCTAGTACATTGCAGTTCAGTACAAAACCTAATGGATAATTCATGTTAAGTTTATTCCCACTATTTTCAGGTTCTTGGATGCATTGATTAAAGCTATTGTTTCAGTCTTTGTGCTAAATCATTCATATTTATTTAGTGCCACAAAATCTAGGCCTGGTTTCACAGACAGGGCTTAGATTGAGCCAGGATTAGGCCTTAGTTCAATTAGAACATTTAAGTCGCTTTTATAAACGTGGCTTAAAAAAATACATTACTGCTGTGCCTTTTGAGACAAAACAATGGCACTGACATGTTTCAAGACCTGTCAGTGCGAGTTGCTTTTAGTTGAGAAAGCTCAAACATGCATTTTGGTCTGGGACTCGACTTAAACCTTGTCTGTGAAACCAGGCACTTGACTAGAAGAAGAGCAGCGTCCCAGTTTGAAGGCTGCATATGTCATTGAGGATTTCTCATTTCAGAAAAGTAACCATTATAAAACTGACAGTTATTCCTCATGGAGCATAAATTACTCTAATATCATTCTTCCTTTGGAATGTAATGGTTACTTTTCTGAAATGGGGCAGCTTTAATGATGTATGTATGTGACCAACAAATGTGACCTCAGGAGGATGCAGCCTTCGAAATTAGAAATATTCTTTATGGAGATAGTAAGTAGAATATGTTTTCCTATTGTTTTCTTCGTAGAGAGAGTTGATGAGGGGACTTATTCGAGCATTGATATGACAGCTTTAAATTGAGATTAAAGGTGGGCTCGCATTTACTGATGTTCGGCAAATTTTATCTGGAAAAAATCCAGCAATTTTAATAGGAATCCATGCGAAATGGAATTACACATTGCAGATTTTGTAACGGGATCAAGTTGGTTACATGGATTTGCTGTGTTGACCAATAGAAAGCTACTTGGTTTGAAAGTGACTTTTGTGTGAGACATTCTTCATACATAGCTACATTATTGACAATGGACCTTTCTTCCTCACAAAATATTGCTGCTAGATACACGTCATATATTTAACCGTTAACCGTTTTTTTTTTTTTTGCTGACACAGCATTCTAAAAATGCAGTGCCCAAGATAAAAGTATGTTGAAATAGTATTTGAGATTGTAGATCCACAGTATTTTTATAATACATTACATCTTGTAATAACTTATGCTGCAACCCATAACCCGAGGGATAGCATTTTAATTTTTTTGTAGCTGTATGGAAATCATTTACTGAAACTGCATGGCATGTTTACAACAAATGCAAAAGACAAAACAAAACATCTTTTTATAAGATTTTGCAATTCAGCTTTTGTGGTAACTGTTTCCTCATTCAGGTCTCGTCAATAATATTATAGCTTAAATATACAGCACAGCGACAAATTATCGTTCAATAATTTTCTCATTGTGGAATCTGAGTCTGTTAAACTATTAAAAATGGAATTTAAGAAAACAATTATTTTCCAAGTTTGATAGTTGAAAAATAAGCACATGAAACACAATAATACAACGGCTACACAAAGCAACTAGTTCCCATAAAACAATGGCCCAAACCACAGTATATTTGCATTCTGTAGTGCTGACCATATCCTTTCTGTAAAACTGTAAAACTAAATTCTGCTTATGGTTTACTATTGTTATCTGTGGACATCCCCCCCCCCCCTCCCTCCCCCTTATATTAACCCTATAAAAGGTTCATAGTATGCATTTGACACTGATTTGCCAGGACTTTTTTTCTGAATTAAAACACATTTGCAGCTAAAGGAAAGCACTTAAAAAAACATTTTTTAGGATCAATCAGTGAGATTTATATCATTTCAGTCATGGACAGCTCACCAGAAATATTGGATTTTGATTCTTCAGATGAAAATGGGTAAGGAACATTTTTTATTCTGCACTTAAACTTACAAAGCAGGCTTCAAACTTTCCACAATGCTTCTTTTTGGAAACAAATTCAGTGTAACTGTCAAATGTGTTTTTAAGTCCCGAGAACAGTGGAATATTTCTGCAGCAGTGGGAAGCACAGGTTCGGCCCTACATTGAGATGATTGACTTCATGAGGCAGATTGGCATTGAGAGGGAACTTGCACTGCCGTCCATTGCAGTGGTGGGAGACCAGAGCTCAGGGAAAAGCTCTGTTCTAGAGGCGCTGTCAGGAGTCGCTCTGCCTCGTGGGAGTGGTATGTTGTACACCTATAAAACACTGTATATATCTTATTTACATTCTTCTGCTTACGTTAGGAGGCATCTATATATTCTGATGGTCCATTCAGGTATTGTAACTCGCTGTCCACTGGAGCTTAAACTCAGGAAACTGAAAAGTGGGTGCGTCTGGACCGGCATAATCTCTTACAATGATGTGCGAGAGACCTTTAATGATCCCGCACAAGTTGAAAGATACGTCAGAAGTGGTGAGGCTATATATCAAGCTATTATCATTTATAAATAATCATTATAATATAGCTTAATATATAATGAATGAATGAATGTTGAGTAAGTATGTATTTGTCTTTAACAGCACAAAATCAGCTTGCTGGAGATGGGGTAGGAATCTGCGATGATCTCATCAGTTTAGAGATCTCATCACCTGATGTTTGCGACCTCACACTGATCGATCTACCTGGTATAACAAGAGTACCTGTAAAAGGGCAACCGGAAGACATTGGAGACCAGGTGATACGAAAATTGTTGCACTTCATTTTACAGTATGTGCATATAGGGTTACCTAGTTATTACCCCGTTATTACTAGAATAAGTACTTACAGTCATGTTCCCCGTGTACATACTATGTACTTGTTACAGTAATTACAATAACTGGGTAATAACTAGGTACTAACCCCTGTAGTTACCTTATAATACCCAGTATTTTCTTGGTACAGTGTAAGTACATGCAAGTACACGTACTGTAAAATAAGGTGCATCCAAAAATGAGAAAAACATTTATAAAATTTAATATAAAAGAATAAATTTGAAAACTGGACACCACTTGCTGAATAAAACCTGCAACATGATGATGTTCCATGCATACTACAGTTTGAAATGTTTCAGGTCTTCATTTTCTTATAAATTAGCCTTTGATCAATTGCAGATTCGACGCCTGATATTGAAATTCATTGGAAAAAAAGAAACCATTAATTTAGTTGTTGTTCCCTGCAATGTTGACATCGCAACCACAGAAGCACTTAGAATGGCTCAGGGTGTTGATCCTGATGGCTCAAGGACTTTAGGTATTATTACACATCTGAGTATTTAGATTAAAAAATTAGTTTTGCTTGATACAACACATAATATCACCGCACGACAATTTCATTCATGTCTGTTCAAACACTTTTTATTGCTTCAGCAATATTGACAAAGCCAGACCTGATAGATAAAGGAGCAGAGGCTGACATCTTACAAGTACTGCAGGGTAAAGTGGTTCCTCTCAAAAAGGGCTTCACCATTGTCCGATGTAGAGGCCAGAGTGACATCAATGAAAACGTTTCTCTGGGTGAAGCCACAAGACAGGAAAATGAGTTCTTCGCCAATCACACGGACTTCAGGTATTACGTTGCATTTAACCTGGTAGATATTCTTCATTTATCTGTAGTATTTTATGTAATGTTCAAAGCCACTTAAGAGTTTTTTATTCTGTTGCCACCAGTTATCTTCTTAAAGAGCAAAGAGCCACAATATCCTGCCTGGCCACCAGACTCACTAAAGAGCTGGTCGCACATATCAAGGCAAGTCTAAACATTGCAAAATATTCTGAAACTTTCTCTAAACACTTAAATTATTATTTATAATAGAGTTATTCCTTATTTTACAGGCTTCACTTCCATCTCTAAGTGATCAAATTCACATCAACTTGTCTGCAGTGAGAGTTGAGCTCAAGTGTTATGATGAAGGTCCTCCTTTAGAGCTTGAGCGCATGGGGCCTTATCTCAGCAAGGTACAGTAAGTGCAAGCATTAGCTATTCCTTGGATTGTCCAATATCTGAGCAATCCTGGCTAAAATTAACTTCTGTTTCTCTGTACGTGTAGAAAATCCTGGAGTTCGGTGATCAGATAAGCGAGTTGTGTAGAACAGGAGAATCAGACAATGGAAACATCTACTCGGTCCTTCGACCAGTGTTCAAGCAATGGGAATGTCAGCTGAGTAACTCCAAAGCATCGTGTACGTCATATGGTGACATAACATTATTGAGAACCAATTTTTCTTCAGTTTTTTTTCTCTTGGTATGATTTAGCACGATTAGGATATTCTATCTCCACCCATTAGGCCCAAATTACATTCGCTCCTCCTCGCTGGACATATAGCGAGTGATACAGTGAAAAGACCAAAGTGCTGCTGCTCGGCCAATCAAATTTGAGGAACTAACATGCAAAACTTTAACCATTGACCTTTAATCTTATAATTTGTGTTTTTTATTTTATTTTAGTCAGAGAGTCTGTAAAAGAGATGACTGAAAAATATGACGAGGCCCATCGTGGGAGAGAAATAGTGACCTTCAGTGACTACTGTGTGTATGAATCAATGGTAAAGAAACATGTTGGAGATCTTCAACAACCAGCATTGGATACTTTGAAGCTCATCCGAGGTATCTGCCTGAACATTAACTGGCTTTTTTTTTTTTTTTACGTTGAATATGGTTTATATTTGAAATTATTTATAATAACAGTTCTCATTTAATATAACCTTAGGTATTGTGCAAAAGGAGTTTAGAGTCGTGTGTGAGCTGTGTTTCCCAAACTTCCCTCATCTGAGACACGTAATACTGGTGTGTTAAAATTACACTTGTTGATCACATTAAATAATCTTAAAAGACAATAAAAGTCTTAAACATAACATCTCTGATGTTCCCTTAGAACCATATTGATGAAATTCACTCAAAACAAGAAAGCAAGGTGGATAAGAGGATCCATGAGTACATTAACATGGAGAAGCTTGTGTACACGCAGGATCCCATTTTTACCCAGAAAATTGTAGACTTCAAGTTTGTGGAAATGAGACAGCAGCATGAGTCCATTAGTTTGGATACGGGAGAGAACGCAACCTCACCCAACAACTGTGCTGTGTTCGACACCAGGAGCCTGACACCTGATAAACTGATCATCTACTACGAGGTGTAAATCAGTTTCTGACTTCAGTATTAGCTGAATATTTGGTTTTTATTGCACTAAAAAACTCCCACATGGTCTCTCAATCGAACAGATTGTGTATCAGCGTCTGGCCGACTACATTCCTATGGTGATCCTGCTGTTCATACTGAAGGAAGCTGCCGTGATGCTGCGGGCTCACGCGATGGACCTGCGGGATGGAGCGGATGTTGTGAAGCTGCTCTTGGAGGACTCAGAGTCTGGTCTGAAGAGAGCAGACTTACACCAACGCATGGAGCGGTTGCGTCTGGCACATGAACGCATCAGTATATACCTCTGAGACAGACGTTTTCTCTGGTAAAGAGCTGTCCTGACATAATGGACCAGCCACTAAACATGAAACAGGCTATTTTATGGTCAGCAGCGAAGGAAAGATGATGATCAACATTATAATATTCTTACAAAGTGTCCAGTGTTTGTGGGGTTTAATGCACATTTAGATTTTTTTTAAATGTATTTGATCAGATTGAAACTGTTTAAGATCCATTTAAAAAAAGATATTTATCTGAAATAATAAACCCTCAAAATAAATGACTGTGGTTAATTATATAACATGTTATGTAAATGACAAACCATCAGTGATAGTTTGCTTACCTACTGTAATAAAGATCAGAATAAAAAAAGGTATAGCTTGTTTTTCTCTAACAACAATTTAACTAAACATACCGACATGTATACTTAAATTCAAAATACAAATTATCTTACAAATAATAGGCCTTCATTCAAATAAAATTTCATCATAAGTTTTTTCATATATTTTTAAATACACAAAATCCATTTTTTATCATACAGTCCAACATCACCTCGTATTGTTATTTTGTGTGAGAAAAACTGGAAAATCACACTAAATGAATTATTTTTTCATTGATTAAAATTACTTACATTTGATTGGCTTATACAGTGATTATTTTATATATATAATGGCTTATGATTGCTTATAGATTATTTTATTAATGAATCCTGCCAAGTGAAATTAAATAAAAGACAACTCTGATCAATCCAATTCAAGAACAAATCCTTGAGTCGGAATTGCCTGCTCGCTCATTTGATTCACTAAAAAGAAATGTGAACTACGTGCTCAGGATGACCTAATAATGTATGTTTCAAATTACAACATGGAAAGCACATAGACTGAGGCAGAGACTGTTGTAAAATATAGCACATCTATTCAGCTTGATGTAGCCATGGCATGGGTAACATATTTTGTGATGCAGGACTAACACAACCCTAAAAAACACAGTGTGGATGAGAGCACAATGATAGTGTCCATTATGACACTATTCTTTCATCAAACCCCCAACAAAATGCAATGCATGCTTCCTTACTGGGGCCCATTAACATCTATTGCTTTTAAATTCATCCTTAATTGAGTAAATCCTGCAAAGACCAAAAAATTGGTACGTTTATAACTGAATCAAGACTCCAATCAAATAATTAATTCCTATCTGTGAACTTCAGGATGAAAAAAAAAACACACAATATGTTTGTTTATTTGGTTACACCTTTTGGTAACACTTTATTTTATAGTGTTCTTGTTACAAATATTACATTTACTTACTATAGTAATAACAGTAAATTATGCATAATTACATGCAACAAAGACTACATCAAACCCTAATCCTAACCCTACCTTATAGTAAGTGCATGTAGTTAATTAGTGTTACTCAGTACTTAAATGTATAATTACGCTGTAACAAGAACACCTTAAAATAAAGTGTAACCCACTTTTTTAAGGCGTCCTTGTTACAGTGTAATTATACATTTAAGTACAGAGTATAATTAACAACTATGTTATATGGTTAGGGTTTGAATGAGGGTTTGAGCCATCAGGATCAAGTATATGATTGGAAATAGCTGTCTGGATGCAAAACCAATATTTTAGTCCCTGAAATGTTTGGTAACGCTTTATATTATTACGACCCGCAAACAACTGCGTAAGTACACCGAAATTACGGTGTACGTTTCTGTAATTATAGTGTACCTCCGTGTAGGTATAAGGGAACAATATGTTAAGTTTTGGGTAATAAAGGGGTAACAAGCAGATATACAACCTGCAAAGAACTTCGTAAGTAAACCGAAATTACGGTGTACGTTTCTGTAATTATAGTGTACTTCCGTGTAGGTATAAGGGAACAATATGTTAAGTTTTGGGTAATAAAGGGGTAACAAGCAGATATACAAGCAAATTATTTATAATGTAATTATTTAAAAACAAGTACCAATTCTGTTAATATATTCCAGACAAAAATTGTACGTCTGTTATATATAAAAGTTATCATCACATTTCTGGCAAAATATGTTCTTAACGTATATATATGGCTGTATTTACATAGTTTTAAACGTGAAAATGATCATTGTGCCGGGTTGAAATTAGCAAAAGACACTTGCGTTCGGGTGTATGATAGGGCCATCACTGTTTATGTGATACCCAAAAAGTTATTGGTGTACTAGTGCAACCTTTTTTAATATTCTACTAATTACATTTCTGTACTTGTGATTACAGGTGGCAATAGCATCAGATGGGGAACAGTTTTCTGTCCCCACGTATTCCCCAGGGACAACTCTGCAGTCCTATGCCAAGGACTTGCAGCAATTTGTGGCCTCCTGTCCCCAACTTAAGTTGAAAATTGAGGACATGAAAAAAAACAAAAAGCTGCTACCAATAAAAAATAAGTTTCGCCATTGATATTTTTGTTGTTGTTGTTGATGTACAGTTTGTTTAAACCAATTGTTTGTTTTCTCTGTTCAACTGTTGGTTATTTTTGTTAGTTATACACTGTACAGTGTGATTTCAATATTATTTTTGTTCTGTTTACAGTTTGTACAGTGTTGATTGTTTTTTGTTAAACTTGTTTTAATAAATGTTTTTGGTTTAATTGTGCTACTGTTCTTTTACAAGTACTAATTTAGAAATTTGTTGATAATGCTAATGGTGAAGGTAGGTTTGTCTGTTTCAGCATACTTGTTGTACTTACCCTGTAACTACACAGAACAAGGAGGTAACAAGCGCCACTTTAATTTACAGCCCGCAGGAGTTACACTTACCCTGTAACTACACAGAACAAGGAGGTAACAAGCGCCACTTTAATTTACAGCCCGCAGGAGTTATACTTACCCTGTAACTACACAGAACAAGGAGGTAACAAGCGCCACTTTAATTTACAGCCCGCAGGAGTTGCACTTACCCTGTAACTACACAGAACAAGGGGGTAACAAGCACCACTTTAATTTACAGCCCGCAGGAGTTACACTTACCCTGTAACTACACAGAACAAGGAGGTAACAAGCGCCACTTTAATTTACAGCCCGCAGGAGTTGCACTTACCCTGTAACTACACAGAACAAGGAGGTAACAAGCGCCACTTTAATTTACAGCCCGCAGGAGTTACACTTACCCTGTAACTACACAGAACAAGGAGGTAACAAGCGCCACTTTAATTTACAGCCCGCAGGAGTTGCACTTACCCTGTAACTACACAGAACAAGGGGGTAACAAGCACCACTTTAATTTACAGCCCGCAGGAGTTGCACTTACCCTGTAACTACACAGAACAAGGGGGTAACAAGCACCACTTTAATTTACAGCCCGCAGGAGTTGCACTTACCCTGTAACTACACAGAACAAGGGGGTAACAAGCGCAGAAAAAAAAACAAACAAAAAAAAACGCTTAATTACACAGTATATTTGCCCTGACATTTAAGTGTCATTGCAATACAATGTGATAAGGTAAGTAGGCCTACTAAGTACTACATGGTACGGTCTAAATTAAAATCATAGCAGAAACTATTTTTTTTTTTACTTATTAATAATTTAGCAAAAAAGCCAATAAATTCAATAAAAAACTATGTAAATACAGCCATATATATACGTTAAGAACATATTTTGCCAGAAATGTGATGATAACTTTTATATATAACAGACGTACAATTTTTGTCTGGAATATATTAACAGAATAGGTACCTGTTTTTAAATAATTACATTATAAATAATTTGCTTGTATAATCTGCTTGTTACCCCTTTATTACCCAAAACTTAACATATTGTTCCCTTATACCTACACGGAAGTACACTATAATTACAGAAACGTACACCGTAATTTCGGTTTACTTACGAAGTTCTTTGCAGGTTGTATATCTGCTTGTTACCCCTTTATTACCCAAAACTTAACATATTGTTCCCTTATACCTACACAGAGGTACACTAAAATGACAGAAACGTACACCGTAATTTCGGTGTACTTACGCAGTTGTTTGCGGGTCGTAATATAAAGCGTTACCAAATGTTTCTGGCAACAAAGAGTGAGGAGGGATGCATAAACTGCTTTGACTGGTATTACAAGTTGGTCATACCTAAAAGTCAGTTGCATGAAAAAATTATGTAGGTCCAATTAAGACCGATTTAAGAAAGTATTCCTTTTTAATAAACAAACTCAACATCAATTGAAGAGGAACATTTACATTTATTAACAGCCAAAACAGTGGCATCCTGCCACCACACACACACTAGGCCATCTCTGCTCACTTTCTGCATATGAGGCAACATACACTAGACTGGGTTGCCAATAAAACAAACTGCTTTCATTACACATGGTGTGCAAAACAAAGAGGAGTCCCACCTTTTCATGGGTCTCAATAAACCATTACATGTACGCACAAAAAATGAGCACATTTAGCCCAACACACAGCATTCTTTTTGTCACAAAATGTACATCGTAAAAGCGTTTTTTTGTGTTTTTTTTTAACTAAATGTATCATTTTCTTTTTTGATTAGGATCAAAAGAACCAAGCAAACTACATAACACATCCAAGACACAGTTTTAACAGTCGCATAGTGCAACTGGCCCCTGATCCTGCCCTGCAGGCACATCAGGTAAACCCATACACACAAATGCATTTCCTTTTAATCCAAATTTATGAAAATGTTTAACCATATTCTGTCTACTTTCAATTTCATTCTTATACACTATAAATTCAGTCTGACACACACATTTCAACTCTCTTTGATTTCTCAAATCAACATGAACTCTGTTTGGGTGAAACCTAAATTAAATATTTTTTTAAGAGTTATCCAAAAACAAGGACATTAACTATTCTCAGAACTAACTTTGCTTTTTCCTCTTTTGTTTTTCCATAAAATGAACAGTTCATGCACATTTTCTTAATTCTCTTCTCCAGATCGAAGAAGTGAGGATGACGGTGATATATTCTCAACAGTGATAACAGTGAGAGACAGTGATAACTCTCAAAACAAAAGGTTAGTCAAAAATGTAATTTGCTTGTTACTAAACTATTTTTTAAGATAGTTAATTGTACATTTATTTACAAATAATTTTTTTATGTTTTTATAGGCCTAATTGATTTCTTGTTATGTACAAAAAAATTGGAAATTTATATAACACTTTACAATAAGGTCTCATTTGTTAGTAGGTAATGTAGTAACATTAACTAATGAGCAATGCATTTTTTACAGTTTTTATTCATCCTTATGAACATTAGTAAATAAAAAATACAACTGTTCATTGTTTGTTCATGTCAGTTCACAGTCACTATGTTAAAAACACAAATTTCGATTTTAATAAGACAATAATAAATGTGAAATTAACACGAATAAATGCTGTAGAAGTTCTTAGGTCATTCTTACTTACCCTTTGACTGTCACCCTTTTTTTCCCATAGACATAAAAATCACTATCCAAACATAAATGGTTGTAATTCAAGAATCCTTAGGAATAAAGATGGTTGGTCTTGTTTTAAAGAAGACATTTGCCAGATTATTGTAGAAGTGTAGAAATTATGAAAGTGAAACAGAAAGACACATGTTAAAACAACATATTTTCATTTATTAATAAACTAAAACATACAAATGTGTTACAGCCAAGAATGAGCTGGCAGGAAAAGGGGAATATGTGATGAGCTCATCACTTTAGAGGTCATGTCACCAGATGTGTGTGACCTCACACTGATCAGTCTACCTAGAATTGCCAGAGTACCAGTAAAAGGACAACCAGAGGATATTGGAAACCAGGTGAGCAGCATAATCTGATTTTACAGGTCACATTCTTTAAACTATGTTTAATGTCTTGTAGATTAAGTCTTATAACAAAGTTTATTGAGAAGCAAGAGACTATAAATCTGGTGGTGGTTCCTTGTAACACTGACATTACAACAACAGAAGCATTAAAAATGGCAGAAGAAGTAGATCCTGAGGGCAGAAGAACTATCGGTAATGTACTCTCATCAAATAACTTTGATTTATGAGCACCTTTGTCAACAAATGCACATTTTAACTATATATACATATATACACTCACCTAAAGGATTATTAGGAAGACCTGTTCAATTTCACATTAATGCAATTATCTAATCAAGCAATGGTCAAGACAATCTCCTGAACTCCAAACTGAATGTCAGAATGGGAAAGAAAGGTGATTTAAGCAATTTTGAGCGTGGCATGGTTGTTGGTGCCAGACGGGCCGGTCTGAGTATTTCACAATCTGCTCAGTTACTGGGATTTTCACACACAACCATTTCTAGGGTTTACAAAGAATGGTTTGAAAAGGGAAAAACATCCAGTATGCGGCAGTCCTGTGGGCGAAAATGCCTTGTTGATGCTAGAGGTCAGAGGAGAATGGGCCGACTGATTCAAGCTGATAGAAGAGCAGCTTTGACTGAAATAACCACTCGTTACAACCGAGGTATGCAGCAAAGCATGTGTGAAGCCACAACACGCACAACCTTGAGGCGGATGGGCTACAACAGCAGAAGACCCCACCGGGTACCACTCATCTCCACTACAAATAGGAAAAAAAGGGCTACAATTTGCAAGAGCTCACCAAAATTGGACAGTTGAAGACTGGAAAAATGTTGCCTGGTCTGATGAGTCTCGATTTCTGTTGAGACATTCAGATGGTAGAGTCAGAATTTGGCGTAAACAGAATGAGAACATGGATCCATCATGCCTTGTTACCACTGTGCAGGCTGGTGGTGGTGGTGTAATGGTGTGGGGGATGTTTTCTGCACACTTTAGGCCCCTTAGTGCCAATTGGGCATCGTTTAAATGCCACGGCCTACCTGAGCATTGTTTCTGACCATGTCCATCCCTTTATGGCCACCATGTACCCATCCTCTGATGGCTACTTCCAGCAGGATAATGCACCATGTCACAAAGCTCGAATCATTTCAAATTGGTTTCTTGAACATGACAATGAGTTCACTGTACTAAAATGGCCCCCACAGTCACCAGATCTCAACCCAATAGAGCATCTTTGGGATGTGGTGGAACGGGAGCTTCGTGCCCTGGATGTGCATCCCACAAATCTCCATCAACTGCAAGATGCTATCCTATCAATATGGGCCAACATTTCTAAAGAATGCTTTCAGCACCTTGTTGAATCAATGCCACGTAGAATTAAGACAGTTCTGAAGGCGAAAGGGGGTCAAACACAGTATTAGTATGGTGTTCCTAATAATCCTTTAGGTGAGAGTATATATATATTTTACTGATGTAACTATTCATATTTTTAACATTTAACTATTTTTTTAAATGTTTGATATATAATGAAATGTTTTAAAAGGATTATGCTTGGTTATCTGGGTAGACATTTTTTCGTTTTTCAAGATCCATTACAATTTGCATATCGAAAAGGCGTGGGAAATGTCATACTTTTTATGTTGGATAATATTTATAATAATTTGGAAACAACTGCCAGTTCTGTTAGGATTATGTTTTTGCGTTTTAACCTACATAGTACAACTATTATGTAGGTATTGCATTATCTTCTATGTCAACCCCAGTTTGTTAGGCTGGGACTGGGTGATCAAATATCTGACATTATTATATCCACCACAAGGCACAGTTTTATCACCTTTTCTATTTGCATTGTATACTTCTGACTATAGGCACACTCAGACATTTTGTATACAAAGGTTTTTAGACGATACTGCTCTTGTGGGTTTAATAAATCAAGGTAATGATGTGGACTATAGAGGAGAGTTTGAATTATTTGTTACATGATGTGATGAAAATTTCCTAAAATTGAATGTGAAGAAGTTGATCATTGATTTAAGACGGGGAAAAAAGAAGTGATACTACCAATGACAATTAAAGGTCAGAAAATAGAGATTGTTCAGTCTTATAAAAATATTGCCGTCCATTTGGATAGTAAATTAAACTGGAAGAAGAACAGTGAGACTGTTTTTAAGAAGGCATAATCAAGACTATTCTTTTTGAGGAAGTTGAGTTCCATTGGTGTCAGAACTGAAGCTTCTTTATGTTTGTTATCAGGGAATCATGGTCAGTGTTTTGTTTTATGCAGCGCTCTGTTGGGGATGTAGTATCACTGTAGATGATAAAAATAGGATTAATAAACTGATTAGAAAGGCTGGTTCGGTTATTGGTCTTAATCCTGATTCACTTGAGGTCATTGTGGAAAAGAGAACAAGGGCAAAATTAAAAATGATTCTGTTTTACAAAGGTCATCCACTACACTTTAGTGGATTTAAAAGCTCATTTAGTGGAAGATTAGTAATGCATCAGTGTTCTACAGAGCAATTTAGAAGTTTTTTTTAAATTCCTACTGCAGTTAGGTTTTTTAATGAAGTTGTGTCATTTTTTGTATGTATTGATTGTTATTCTTTTCAGTGTTCAATTGTCTATTTGTGTTGTTTGTAATGTGCAATGGTGGCAAATGAGTTTCCCCTTACAGGGATTAATAAAGTTTTATCTTATCTATTTTTCATTCTCATTTCACAGCTATTTTGACCAAGCCAGATCTCATAGACAAGGGAACAGAGAAGAACATTCTGGACATTGTCCACAACAAAGTGATTCCTCTCCACAAAGGTTACATCATGGTGAAGTGAAGAGGACAACAGCAAATGAGAAAATTTCTTTGGGGGAGGCAGCAGAAATAGAGAGAGATTTCTTCCAAAACCATGACCATTTCAGGTTACAACCTGTTTTTCTAATTTAACTTTGTGTTCCAAAAAATTATTCTGAAAGACTTGATTCATACGGTTTAGGTCATATTTTGTTTTCAATTTCAACAACATTTTCAATTTTGGTTCTCCAAAGAACCTTTCAGTGAACAGTTCTTAAAAAAATGTTTTAGTGTGAAGAACATTTTATACACTAGCATCCTTTTCCATAAAGAAAATGGATTAAAAGTGTTCCATGGACATTACTATTCCTAGCTGGTTAGCAGGATATTTGGACAACTAAACCACCTTACAAAAAGTGCTTTGTCATTTTCAACAGATGCCTCTTGAATGAGGATAAAGCAAAGCAACTATTGAATGTCTTGCTGTCAAACTGACACACAATCTTGTTGATCATATCTGTTACGTCCTACAGTGTCATTTTATTTAGTTTCTCTGTATATTATGTGTGACAGGCCACTGGGTGGCAGTAGTGGTTGTTTCTCTGCCTCCTTCTGTGCAGGTAAAGCCAGGTGAGGGTGATCACCTCTGCTGATGACTACTCGGTTGGGATTGGTCTTCAAAGGAAAAGAAGAATATAAAGCCTCACTGATCTCCACTGAAGGAAGGCTTGTTTTCCTGCTGGTTGGATTTGACTTTGTTGTGTCTTTACATTGCTGCTGCTGTTTGGTTGTGACCAATTTCAAAATCAACCCACTTTATTTTCTTCTTGTTGTTAAAAGCCTCTAAAATGGTGTTACGTTGATGTATACACTTTTTGCTGCTTAACCCAACTGTTATACTGTTTATTTTGATGCTTCTTTTGTAAAAGAAGCATCAAAATAAACAGTATAACAGTTGGGTTCAGCAACAAACTAGGGAACCAATCTACACTTACCTAAGGAAAGAAACAACAAAATAGTTCCCTGCCTCCCTCTCTACTTTAAACAGGAGAAAAGCATTCCAAAAAATTAATAGATAGGCCTATTGGTTCCCTAGTTAGAGGTATTTTCTTTATGTATTTTCTTTGGCTTTTCTCACTCCTGAAGTCTTAAAACTTCATATACTTGTGATACACCAAATAAATCTTGTTGTACCACATTTGTTGTTGATTGGTATGTAACCTTTGGAGCCAAACATTGTTTTGTTGTAATTTTAGTTATTTAATGTTGCTTCCCCTATCCTAGACTGGGTGGAACATAACAATATCAAAGTACGTTTTTAAATGTCTCACTCTAAAGGCCTGTTTACACTGAACATGAATTTACTGGTGTATTGCAAAAAATGCAGATAGATTGCGAGACTATAATAAATCATGTTTTTTTCTATCTTTGCCAGAAATCACTGCCACAGCTCATTGTGCAGAACACAGTTGTGGGAAGTGAAGAATGAGCTCAAAGAGTGTGAGGCTCACAGGACACTAAGGGAGCCAAACAGTTCCTCATTAAAGTAGGATCTCAAGTCATTGCATCTTCTTACTTCTGAGAATTATCATTTGGAGTTCAAGCTGCTAGAACCCTGTGTTTGTTGTGATTTTCTCCTTTTTCCTTATGTACCGGCACTAAAAATATCTTGGCATCAGAGATAGTCCCAAATCTCATCACTGTTCAGGCACACGTACACACCACTGTCTGACAATAGGTGGTGCTATGGTTAGAGATCATGATTGAAAAGCTGCATCTATTGAACTCCTTGTATTGTTGTTTTGTTGTATTCTAAATTATTTTCTCACCCAACTGTCTTTGTCTACCTCCCCAGAGACACTTTTTCTGTAAAATGATAATGTACAATAACATGTTCATGTAAAAAATATTTAATCTTTATCACAGATCCTAACAAGATTCAATGATCAAATCAACTCCTTATCATCAGGGGAGCTGATTAATGCAGAACACGTGTTTATCCAGCTTCAGGATGAATTCAAGAAGTGGAATGATCATCTTAACAGCACAAAGCCAACCTGTCAGTATATTTTCAACATTACATTAAACCTTAAATTCCCTGTTGTTGGGATTTTATAAGAAAGTTAAAGTTAATTTAATGAGAAATTATTAAATTATATGTGGTGCAGCGAATGGCTAACCAACTCCCCATGATGATCTCGTTTTTCATTTTTGTCAAACCAGCTTATGGTGCATATTCCACCACCTACTGGGATGGAGTATGAGGTGTTGATATCAAGAGTAAATGTAAAACCTATATTTCATTATATAACTGTAACTTTCAGGACATTTATAAGAGTTTATGACCTTTATAAGGACATTCTGTAATCTCAGACAATTAATGCCAGCAGATTTTAACTCCTCTTTTAACTGGAGTCTTTCCCACTCAAATGCCATACTTTTAATCAACACATGCTCTACTGTTTCTGGAAGTCCACAATTACACTGACTGATTCATGTTTTCCTATCATCTTGATTGATTTATTAAGAGTAGAGTGTCCAATTTTTAACCGAGATATCCTTCTACAACCATAAGCAGCTCTTACATGACCAACTTTTTTGGTCATATAAAGGTTAACTACAAAGACTTTATTGACTAAACATTTAAACTAACACATACATACATGCATACAGTTTACCAAGGGAAAGAGAGCTGAAGCAGAATACAGGGAAGCAAGAAGTTATAGTATTGTTTGAAGTTCAGCAGATCAACAGCCTGAGCAAACCATCAGTTTAGTTCTAACACGCCCTTCTTTAAAAGGGGTAAGGATACTTAATGTATCAAATAATTAGACTAAGTTTGATACTTTCATGTCTCGCCCATTTGAATTAAACTGTCCTGATGCAATTTGTTGAGGCTCCAGTTGATCTTTGCTGATGTAGTAAGTTTCACAGACCTTTGTTGGGATAGTGAGTTTACTGTATTATTCATTATATATAATGAATACTTTGTGTGTGTCTGATTGGTCCAGACGCTAAATGGAAGTTCAAGCATGATTGCTTGATGTGCAAGAACCAATGAGGTTCATGCTTATGTTTTACGCAGCACATTTGAGCTTCCGCAAGAACTGCAAGAAGGTTGAGCTTCTATTTATGTTCGTCATCAATGTTTATGTGTGAAAAAGCCTAAAAAAAGTTTACTGTCTGTTCATCATTTAAAGCGATTGTGTCTCTTCAGAAAATTTGGACTAAACCGCTCTATTCATATGGATTATTTTCACAATCTCTTTCTGAACTTTTTAAAATGTCAAAGTGGTAGTGGTAGGGTTTTTAATGACATGAGGGTGAGTAAATGATGACAAAGTTTTAATTTTTTAATTAAAATATCCATCTTTGTAATGATAATAAACATTATGCCTCAAATGCTTTTAATTGAACTTAATTTGTCCCGAAATATCCCTTTAATCAGGTAAATGAGATTAGCGAAGAGACAATTCCAGAAGATCAGTTACCTGTCTTTGACATAAAGAGCAAGTACAGTGAAATGCTCCAGGCATATTATGAGGTAGATATTCTTTCAGTAACAAATATAATTGTTTTGCTCCAAGACTGAATGGACTGCAGTAGGCTATACTTGTGTGTGGATGTTACTCTTTGATTTTCTTTCAGATCGTGGTGCAGCGAATGGCTGACCAACTCCCCTGATCTTGTTTTTCATTTTTGTCAAACCAGCTTATGGTGCATATTCAACCACCAACTGGGATGGAGTATGAGGTGTTGATATCAAGAGTAAATGTAAAACCTATATTTTATTATATAACTGTAATTTTCAGGAAATTTATAAGAGTTTATGACCTTTATAAGGACATTCTGTAATCTCAGACAATTAATACCAGCAGATTTTAACTCCTCTTTTAACTGGAGTGAACTGGAGTAACATTTTAGAGTGAAGCCTCATGAAAGCAATTTTTGAAAAAATATAGATGCCATCTGGTGGACACACTGAGCATTTTTATCACGCAATAGCACGTTTTTACCACTAGTGGATTTACAGCTCTCTGTAGAAAGGCTGGGGGATTCTAGTGATTTTTGCAAATATATACCAATTTTTTTCAGGTTGTTGATTTTTAAAATATAATAACAGATTCTCAAAGACTATTTTTGTCTTGTTTTTTGTTTGTTTGTTTGGTTTAAATGGTAATTTGAAGTGCCAGTTTTACTTTATAATACAGATTATTATAAATATATAATACAGTGTGTGTGTGTGTGTGTGTCTGTTTTGCACTCTTGATGTTTTAGAGATTCACCCCTTCACCGTTGAGTCATTTTTTCTGCATTCTGGCTGATTTGTATATTGTATGCACAAAAAAACTGTTTTCATATTTTTGACAATTTCCCATTCATTTCCAATGGGGGTCATTTGGACCCGAAGGTCCTAAGTGTGAGTATTTTTTTTTTTTTTTTACAACCACTTAGACTATTCAAATAGACTATTCTATTTGAATAGTCTGTGTTTTCATATTGAATAATCTGTGTTTTCATATTTTTGACAATTTCACATTCATTTCCTATGGGGGTCCATTTGAACCCGAAGGTCCTGAGTTTGACTATTTTTTTTACAACCACTTAGACTATTCAGATCCTGTCCCCAATTTTTTTGTGTGTTCACATACCTAATACCATAAAAGTCACCTAGTTTCGTAACATTCCGATTAAGCTGTGATTTAAAAAAATTCAAAACAGATTTATGTAATCTGAATTTATGAGTGTGTATGTGTATAAAAGTGTGTGTGTGTGTGTGTGTGGATGTCTGTTTTGCACTGTTGATGTTTTATAGATTCACCCCTTCACTGTTGTGTGCTTTTTTTATGGATTGTGGCTGATTTGTAGATTGTACGCACCAAAAAACTCTGTTTTTTCACATTTTTGCCAATTTCCCATTCATTTCCTATGGGGGTCCATTTGGACCCGAAGGTCCTGAGTGTGACTATTTTTTTTTACAACCACTTAGACTGTTCACATCCTGTCCCCAATTTTTTTGGGTGTTCATATACCAAATACCAACAAAGTCACCAAATTTCGGACCATTCCGAAGAAGCTGTGATTTAAAAAAAAATTTTTTTTGAATGATTCGGGTCCATTTGGGCCGAACAACCCCAGAGGGTTAAATATTATTATTTATTATTATAATGAGAAATTGACTCCGCTTATAACTTAAATGCTTCACCAAACTCGGCTCAGACCTTCAGACTGGTCTGACTCGCTTATATCTTTTCTAACTGGTCAGACTTACTTCCCCAAAAAAACCATTGACTTGCGTTATCTGAGCAATGAAGGTCGTAATACTTAATGCTGTCCACTAGAGGGGGCGACAGGATAAGTCTTTTCTACTCCCTTTCCCTGTTTGCATCAGTTTAAATGTAAATAGGCCACATCTGTGTATGAGAACAAGCTTTACACTTCAAGTTGTACAACTAATTAAAACTTGAACCCTACTTCAAAGTTTGCCACTCTCTGGTTTATTTTAATATAGCCTATT